GTGATCATTCTCATTCTATGATATTAACCGGCTATCCAGACAGAGGACGAGGAGTTCTTTGTAAGCAATATAATAGAGTTAGAGTCTTTTGTAATATATTTCAAATGATGATTAAAATAATCGATTTTATAAGTAGGTAACAATGTTAACAGCAATTTAAGATTTTCAAGTTTAGATGCGAAAATCGATCAACTTGTTACAAGTTTAAACATCGTAATTATAAAATGGGCAAAGAAGATTACACGAGTCTTTATACAGGACTGTCCAAAGCAGAGCAGAAAAATTATAATTGTCGATACTTTCTTGTCTTAGTTTTGGATCAGAATTTATAAAAAAATAATATTACCACTCCGAAAAACGGAATACGGACTGGCATAAAATGCAAATCAGCAAACTTTTTAAGCCAAAACTGTACACATCAGTGGCGGATATCATGAGTTTCTTCATCTTCGCGTGCCATATCAGAATTATCCGACGTTGGCGATCACCATTGCGAAGGCTTCTCGATCTTCTGCAATATGTAATAATTGTCCTGCATTAGGTATCTGAGTCCATTCACGAATGTTTTTTAACCAAGAAACTTGTTTTCTTCCTACACCTCCACGGATTTCTATTTTGCCTTTAAGGATCAGTTGTAATATTTTATATCGACTTCCCCTTACTATATGTCCCAGACAAGACATTTTTCGATGTTTAACAGTCTTTAGCAGTTCTCTGTCTTTGTTGACGCTCCTTAGTACTTCTTCATTAGTTTTCCTTGCTGTCCAAGGTATCTTCAGCATTCCTCTATGAACCTGCATTTTCAATGCTTCAATTTTGTTTATGATCGATGCTTTTAGCGTCCACACTTCTGCACTATACAAAAGTACAGACCAAACATAGTTTTTATTCTTTGCCTTTCTTTGCCTTAGTTCTAAACTGAGATGGTTATTGCAAAGAAATTACTTCATTCTCATAAAAGTAGTTTTAGTCATTGCTATTCTACGTTTTATTTCTATGTCTGGATCTAGTTGGTCCGTTATCACAGTTCCCAAATATGTCATTTTGTGAACTTTCTCAACTTGAACTCCGTTTAATTGAAGCTTTGCATCGGGATGTGGGTCACGACTAAACACTAAAAATTTGGTTTTGTTTGAGTTTATTTTAATGCCCATTTCCTCTCCTATCTCGTGAATACAATCAAGCAGAATTTGAAGACCTTCAATATTATATGAGAGAATTACTGTATCGTCTGTATATCTAATCACATTAAGTATTTCCCCGTTGATTTTTATTCCATATGGTTGTCTCTCACGTGCCTTTTTAAATAACTGATCCAAGTAAACATTGAACAATGTTGCAACAACAAAATTCAACCTTGTCTGATTCCTCGTTGTATAGAGATTTCATCGGTGTAGTTATCTCCAATTTTCACGATAGCAGTTTGATTCCAGTACAAATTTTTAATGACACGAATATCCTTGTCATCTATTCCGATATTTTTCAGTATTTGCATTAATTTTACATGCTGTACTTTATCAAATGCCTTTTCAAAGTTTACAAAACATGCAAATACATATTTTCTTTGGTCACCGCATTTTTGTAATAGGATGTTCCTATTACAAAAATGTGCGTAAAAAGTGCCTCCCTGGTTCCCATAGCATTTCTAAAACCAAATTGGGTATCTTCAAGATCTTCTTCGCATTTGCGTCTAATTCTGTTGTGAAGTAGGTATTGCGACAAAGATGGATTTGAGCCAATCTGCGGGAATCACTCCGGTGTTATATATTGAATTAAAAAGTCTCACTACTACTTTAATGTTATCATTCTCTATTAGTTTCAGCAACTCAGTTGGTGTATCATCTGGACCACAAGCTTCTATAATTTTAGCATTATTTTTAGCGTGTTCTACCTCGCATTTCATAATTTCTGGGCCGTCAGTACAGTTTTGGTAAAATTCGGCAATATTATTCCTGTCATCTTCAAACAACTCTGATATATACAGCTGCCATTCTTTTCTTATTTCGTGTTCATTTACCATAATTTTGTTATTATTGTCAACGAGTACAGAGGAAATTCATTTTTTAAATATGTTACTCATTTCTTTTAGTTTTTTGTGCACATTAAATAAGTCGTGTTTAGATATTAAATCCTCCATTTCGTCGCACCTTTCTCTCAGCTATTTTTCTTTGGCTAATTTGATCTCCTTTTTTATTATTCTCTGCGGGTGCTCTGCAGGTGTATTCAGTTACATTACATTTTATCAGTCGACGTTGTTCCATTAATTTTAAGATGTCGTCTGATCATGACTTTACTTTACTATATTATAGAAGTATAATAATGTTAGCCATCTTTTTAAATTGCCCTCTTCATTTCTGAAGGTTCTCATTAATTCTGAAAAATCTTTTTCTATTCTGAGCGGCTTCTAATAGCGATTGAGTATCAAGCATCGTTTGTGATGTTTTTTAACCATAAACATCTTTTACTACCTGGAACACTGCTTCCTTCAATTTTCCTCTTCATTAATTACTTCAAGAGCTTATCATGTCTCCCCTGCTGATACATGTGTCCTAGATAACTGGTTTTGCGCTTCTTTATAATGTTAAGAAGTTCTCTTTCATGGCCTGGATTATGGAATAATCCAGGCCATGGATGTTTATGGAATTTTCAAGAGCTCTTTCTCGAGAATAAAATATTTTCATCCTGGATTTTCAAGAGGGAATAGCTTAGGCGGTAGAGATACGCTTGAGCTATAAGATAAGCTCAAAAATTAACTTAAACTTATCCAAAATATGTTAACGTTCACAAAGAGTCTGGCGAACACAATGAATCAATTTTCACCAATGAAATGTTTAGTTGTGTATCCTAAAAAATTAATTAACAATCTTTCATAGTTTTATTAAACACTTCTTGTTTTTTCAGCTTATACCAATTCTGCGATGGACAATTTACCATTTACGTCCTTGGTATATGGTACAGGTGGACCTAATAATTATCAATTCGTTTTGGATAATAATACAGCAACTCGCATTGATCCGTCTAAAAACAATACTGAAGATTGGGAATATTCCCAACAAGCTTTGGTTCTTACAGATGAAGTAACTCATAGTGGAGCTGATGTATTGGTTTTTGCGAAGGGTAAAGTAATTTTTTTGTATTTTATTTTTATTTTATAGGTTCGCTTTTTAAAAGAAAATATAATCCTACCTATAGGCGCCTATCGCTTTTGACGTCTTCCGACAAAACCGAGTATTCCTTCTGTGCGAAAGTAGAATCGGTAATAAGCAATTTGGATTTAGAAATTGGCTGGGCACTAGAAAGGCACTATTTTGTAACCACGTTCTCTATTAAAAAAGGCTGCGATTTCCTAAAAAACGTTTATGTTTTATCGACTTCGAAAAGATATATCATGTACACATGATCCAACTATGAATCCACATTTCCAATGCTTTAATTTTGTTCATGATTGATACTTTTATTGTCAACAGTTTTGCCCTATACAAAAGTACAGACCAAACATAGCACTTAACCATTCTTTGTCTTAGTTCTAAACTGAGATGATTATTGCCAAGAAATGTTTTTATTTTCATAAAAGTAGTTGTAGTAATTGCTATCTTTCCTTTAATATCTAGGTCTCGATCTAGTTGATCCGTTATGACAGTTCCCAAATATGTAATTTTGTCAACTTTTTCAATTTGGACTTCATATAGAACGCGTAAACCATTTTAAATACCTTAGCAGCTGGTTAAATTTAAATTGTGACTCTGGTGAAGAGATAATAACCCGGGTCGAGTTACCACGTAAGGCTTTTATGGCCTAGAAACCAGTTTTATGTGACTTGTTACATATTCTTAAGTAGGTCCTGAAATGTTATGTTTAACTGCCTAAAAAAATTAAAAATGCAGTTAGATGGGATTTGGAGAAAATTGAAGTACAATAGGAAATAGTTAAATGGGACCGACAAAAATGGGAGGTAGTAGTAAATGTGACAAAGACTTACGAAAAGTTGTAACGCCATTGATGCTCATTTTATATTAGGTTAATCTACCACTATTATATCATTTTAAGGTTATTCCATGAATATTTCGTTGTATCTTCTAAATAACTCGCCACAGGTGCATTTGTAGCCAATTTGTTGTCAATATATTGATAGCATTGTTTATAATAAGCATGCCATATCATATTTACAATAATTTATTCATTATTGCGTACCTTATTTTTATTTTATCGTTGATACATAACTTGCTATTCAACCTTGTTTAAATTTTTAGGTCCCATGGCTCACCTATTCAATTCGGTTCATGAACAAACTTACGTAGCATATGTCATTGCCTATGCAACCAAAATAGGACCGTTTAGTGATTCAACGAATGGGTCAGTAGATAATTCAGACTTAAAATATATCCATGTGATAACTATATTTCTTATAGTAGCTAGTTTTGTGATAGGTGATTAAACTAAATTATTATTAAATGGGTGTTTTATTGTTATTACTTACTACGAAAAAGTGTTCATCTTAAATTAAAAGAGAGATTATGCAAATAAAATAGAGAAGATTTAAAATAGGAAAACTACAAAAAGCAGAAATATTAAAAGTCAAATTGCACAGAAAACTGCTCATAAAGATGCAAATGAGACTAATACATAGCATCATAATATAATCTTATGTCTTATTATAAACTTCCAATAATCGCATACGCATCTTTCGCTTGGGAACACATGAGCAATTAAAAAAAAAAAGAGAGAATACAAACAGCCCTTAATAAAAGCATTAGAAACGTGACAAATGACTGCAACGAGTACGGGTGATATATAAAATGGCAGAAAATGCCAGAAAGTCGCTCAGTTCGAGAACGGTCTTTGTGTCAGCGACGTTTAAGCGACATGTAAGCATTCAACGCCATGTTTTAGCCACGCTTTTATGTGTTACTGACTTTTTGCTTAAATGACGCTGACTTAATTGCTGGATTGCTTATCTTCTAATAGTTTTGATGTTTAAAGAAATTTTAAACTTCATTTTTACATAACTGTTTTTTAATAAAAAAAGGTTGGTTAATATAACATAAGGTTTTAAAAATAGGGTTTTAATATACTTGGCGATTATAAAGCAATAAGTAAATTTTAGTTAAGGAAATAATTCTTCAAAAGAAAATCGGTTGAAAATTCGACCAGCAACTCCCATGACTATTCCTTTAACAGTGGCCACAGACACTGGGTGTAGTTCGTCAAGAATCTCTCCAACATTTTCATTGATAATTCTGAAACAAAGAAAATATTAAAGTTATAATAATATTTTAGAACAAATTCATTGATAGGTATATTCTACTTGTAGATACATCAATCAATTTATATTGATAAAATATCAATAAAATCAAGATAAATAGATATTATTTATCCCAATAAAATCTGACGATAAGTTAAAGTTGACTTACCTGTTTGCATTTATAGTTAATTCTTCATTATCACCAAAAAGTTTAGCAAAACTAAAGAATCCGGTTCCAACATGTACATCAAAGGCAGAATCATTGATATCCAAGTACTGTTTGCCTTTTTTCGTTACCAATTTGCCTGTTCCTTCCACAGTAGCAGATGTCGATGCTAAAATATTAAAAGAAATTATCAAGAAACGAAGAAAATTTAACCAAGAAACACATTTTGCATTTTTAGATTTTGAAAGTCTGACCGAGTCGATAGGTATAAAGCAATCAAAGCAATTAAAAGTATATATGATTGAAACTGTATGATCGAAGCCGTAAAAAACGTCGTCCTATTCTCAGACAGGATACTGATGATACAAATACAATTAACAACAATAAATGTGAACATATTACAATTATATGCATTCACACAAGACTATGACCAAGAAGAAATTGAAAAATTCTATCATGATTTAGAAAAAGTATTAGCACCTACAAAGAAACACGACTCAATATTAGCATGGGAGATTTTAATGCAAAGATTGGTGAAGGTGAACAGGAAGATATCATAGAAAAATATGGTCTGGAAATACGAAATGAAAGAGGAGATATGTTGGCATCTTTTTGCCTAGAAACGCAATTAGTAATAACACAATTTTCAAACTTCCAAAACGTCGTCTTTACACCTGGAAATCACCAGCAGATTCACCTGAACGAGTTGTTTGTAACCAAATAGACTTCACCTGTACAAATAAGAGATACAGAAATTCAGTATTATCAGTAAAAATATATCCAGTCGCAGATGTACCAACAGATCACAATATTTTAGTAGGAAAAATAAGACGGAGATTAAATACGGAGTTACAAGGACGAGTAAGCAAACAGTTACTATTGATAGAGAAAATATGTTAAATGACACTGTAAAACAAGAAATAATTAGTATATTAGAACAAAAAATGAAGTTAACATCAAGCAAAGAAGAAAGTACTAAGGAAAACTGGACGAGAATTAAAAACAATCTTAAAGAATGTTCAAGAAACAAAATTGAGTGCGCTAAAAGCAAGAAAAAACAAGGGTGGATGACAGAAGAAATACTGACACTTATGGATCAAAGAAGAGAAGTCAGAAATAAAGATAAAAACGAATACAAGAGAATCCATTCAATAATGAGGCAGAAGATAAGACACGCGAAAACACAATTTCATAGTAAAGAATGTAGTGAAATTGAACAATATGAAAAGAAACACGATACATTTCATCTGCACAAGAAATTAAAAGAGGTCGCTGGAAACAAACGGAAACAAGTATCCCAAAGTTTAGAAGACAGAAACGGACACAGAATATTAGACATCAATGAACAGTTAAAAGAACGGGAACACTACATTTCTGAATTATTTGAAGATGAGAGAGTAGAACACTATACACCGATTGCTATATCAGGTCCATCTATAACAGAAAGTAAGGTTACACGTTCAATACAAACGGCAAAAAATGGAAAAGCACTTGGCCCCGATGAAGTAAGTACTGAAATACTAAAGTTTTTGGGAGAAAATGGAATTAAAGCTCTGTATAATCTCTTTAACAGAATGACACTGGGATATTACCAACTGATTGGTTAAAGTCGACATTTGTCACAATACCTAAGAAACATCGTCCAAAGACATGCGGTGATTATCGGACAATAAGATTGTCTTGTGTCTGATATCGGACAATAAAGTCTGATGAATCACGTTTTGAAGATCTTCCTGCAAGTAATACATGGCAGAATTTACTACACGCTGTTAGAGAACAGAATTAGCAATACTCAGTTTGTGTTTAGGAGTGGCTTGGGTACAAGAGAAGCCTTGTTTAGTATACAGGTGCTAGTACAGAGATGCAGAGATATAAATCAAAATGTGTACATTTGTGCAATCGATTTTGAAAAGGCTTTTGACAAAGTCCGACATAACAAAATGCTAGAAATATTGGAAACAGCTGGATTGGACGATAAAGATCTACGAATAATAACAAATTTATACTGGCATCAAGTGGCAATAATAAAGGTTGAACAAGAACTGTCAGATAGAATAAATATAAAAAGAGGAGTGAGTCAAGGCTGTATATTGTCGCCTTTACTTTTTAACTTATATTCGGAGGAAATATTTAAGGAAGCCTTAATGGAGACAGCCAGCCGAAATATTGTGAATGGAGTGACCGTCAACAATATTAGATATGCCGACGATACCTTATAGCTTGCTAATTGCGGTGAAGACCTTCAAAATCTAATGAACAAAATAAAACAGACTTGTGATCAATATGGATTAAAACTCAACGTTAGGAAAACTAAATATATGATAGTTAGCAAACAAAATTATATACAGGATCACGGTATAAAAGTCGGAGATGCCACACTGGATAGAGTAGAGAAACTCGTGTATCTCGGCAGTAATATCAATGAGAGCTGGGATCCAACCGCAGAAATTAAAAGCCGAATAGAACAAGCCCGAGCTGCCTTGAGCGGCCCTAGACCTTGAGTATATTTTAGCATTATTAAAGTTTTAAATTTTTATTAACTATTTTCGGTAATAATTAATTACCGAACGATTTGCTCGGGTCTTTTCGTCTTTTAAAGCTTCGTATTCTTGGGCTAAATCTTGTAATTCGGTTAAGTTTCCGAAATCCCGGCGGCAAGCATAAAGCTTATATTCTGGTAACAATTTTTGTATATCCTTTCGAGTTCTTGGATTCTGTAAGAAGATCCTTCTCGTCTGATTACTGTTTGAATCTCCGTGATATATCTATCCACTGGTTCGTTTTGTCTCTGTTTTATGTTTCGGATTTGCTCCTCTACTTGTAGCAAATATTCTCTGGGATAGAAAGCTTTTTTAAAATCTTCGCTGAAATCTGTCCATGACTTCCAATTCTTGTTATTGTTGCTGTACCATAACAATGCGTGGTCTCCTAATAATTTTGGTAATGCTCTTAGTAGATCTTGTTTATCGATCTCGTAGGCCAAGCTTAATTCGTCTATCCTCTCTAAGACTTCTATTGTATCCGAATGTTTCTTGTCGAAGTGTGTGTTCCATTTTAGTACTTGATTTAGCAATTCTGATTGCCTAATTTGTTTCGTTATTGTTAATTCCTGTAATTGTCTTCGGATGACCGAAATTTCATGGATCAGTGTGTCGGATTCTGCTCCCTTAAAAGTTTTTTCTTTTCTAATTTCTGGGATTGTTCCTGTCGCTTCGTCGCGGTATTTAAAATAGGTTCTGAGTCGTACTCTCAATTCGTGGACGGTTCCCTTGGGATCTAAGCCGCATTTTTCGGCTTCGCTCTGCAATTCCTCTTTGCAAAGGCGGTTTATCCACGACGTACCTGTTACTGAGTCTGTGTCTTTATCTGTCGGCATGTTATTAATTTTCGGTCTCTTTTAGCACTTCCTTAATTTTGCTCGGGCGTCAGTTTGTGCCTGTCACTCTTTCGAAGCGACAGACTCAGTAAAACACAGGTTGAAATCTATGAATCTAGAATGAATTCCCCGGCGGAAGTCTGTAAAAGAAAAAAAAATTATTATTACTAACAAAAAATGATATACGCAAATTCGATTACACGCAGACTTATATTCGCTTCCACCTCAGTCCAGCCGTAGCGCCAAACGCGCTCGCAATCAAAATACTCAATTGTGCAGATCTACGTTGACGGTAACGTTCAATCCACGATACTCACGGGTTCTGATTGATTAAGGACATAGTATAATCCTCACTGCAGAAGTCTCTCTGTCCGGGTCGGTTCGAAGATTCAAAACGCCAGGGAGCCTAGAGCGTTAGTCACAAGACTAAATAGCCGCTCTGGACCCCACCTCATCATCTCGTCGTGGTAATGGATGCGTGACTATCGACTCTCACGGTTCGAACTGTTGAACGCTGTTACTGTAGGCAAAATTCCCGTTTTTCTTTTGTAACATAATTTTAAGATAAATGAAACAGTGGCTATTGAATTTGAATTAGTTTGCAGTCAAATATTAATTTAATTTTATGTAGAGATATTAAAGTTTTAATTAAATTAATTTGGGTATTGAGTTTATTCTAGTTATTTAAATACTTCAACCTGTTTTTTTTGTGTTTTGGCTTGGACAATTGTCATTCAGCCAGTCTCAATCAAGATAAGTTTATTAATGTAGTGTGTGTGTGTTTGTGTGTGTAGAGTAATTGTCTTGATACTTAGCAAAGTGGACGTCATTGTCTTTGCTAAGAGACGCTAATTGTATCCGAACGTCTGCGGTCCCTCCGGTGTTCAACCTGTTTTAATTACAAGACTATTGACAAAAATAATGGTCGTCAGATAATTGTTGAGTATTTAATAAATACATGTTCGTGATGACACTATGTGTCATCATCTTTTTTTTACATTAATATGTATTTGTTGAAAAAATTATTTTTGAGCGTCTAGTAAAAATATTTTTGAGATTTATTATTTTATTTAAATAATATCATTGTAGAGACAATATAACTATTTCTTACAGCTTATGGGTGAATATGTCAATTTTTATTTTTGTTGTATTGTTGTATTTTTTTTGATAATTCTTTGATATGTTTTCTGATGTATTTCTTTTTCATGTCTTTTGTTTCTAGTATTTCTTTTGTCAAACTGTTATCTAATTATTATATATCGTTTATCTATCTGTCTTTAATCTGTACTTTTCTATCATCCATATCCTTACCTATTCCCAATGTAGCTTCCTAAATTGAACAACGTGATCTTCGGTAAGTCTTGGTGAACGATCAGCTCTCTAGTATTTACTTTTGTTAGCTCTTTCGTTACAATTGTTAAGTTAAAGTTGATTTTATCTTAACAAATAAACTAAGCTGCAATGAATATCTTTCTGTGACGCAGTTTAAAGATATTGACAATCTGATTTTAGTCATCTACTTTAGATTTATAGGATAAAAAAAATTGTATTGTTCCAAAACTATTGTATTGGGGCATCTGAATGCAGTTTACAATTTTTACTGAGAACAAGCCACAATTTTACTTTAAAATAATTATATTTTTATTGCACCATGGACACTTTTTTTTTAATATAAACGTTTAATTTAAAACTATCAATTAAATATACTCACAGAAATTTCCATAAAAGTCACCAGAACTATCGACATCTAGCACTAATACTCTTCCTTTTACTTTGTATATTGATTGTCCTATAATCACCGGAAATACTACAGAAATTTTTATTTTTAGAGTCTCTGTATTGAACTGAAATTCCTTTACTTCAATTGTGTCCAATTTAAATATTTTTATGTCGGTAAACTTAATCCTAAAAGTTAGTAGAAAATAAATAGATACATTTCGTTTATTCAAGGCTTTTAATAATATATCAAAATAAAAAGGCTTTGGATTTTTTTTTAATTAATATTAAAGGTAAATTAAAAAGATCGTATATTTTATACTTTTACTGTAAATTCAAATTTTCTAACTGAATTTGTATATCCTCTGATAAAACGGATTTTATTCTTCGAAAAATTGATGTATGTAAATTTTAAGCAACAAATCTCAAACATCGGACTATGGTCTATATTCGAACGATCACAAAACTACCTCGACAGAGTTGTTAGGTGGTGCAATGAGTGGAAAGTGACTATAAATCCCTCCAAAACACAAGCTATTCTTTTTAAATCTTCCAATCCAATTGTCGCGATGTCCATGGCCGGATAGAACTTTTAGGACAAGACCTTATTTTTCGTTCGTTTTACAAGGCTTCTCAACTGGAAGACCGACGTTCAAGAAACCCTAGATAGGATGAGAAAGAGGTTCAACCTTCTGAAAGTACTGTACGGTAAAATGGGCGGGACATCTTCTAAAACCTTATTGCACACCTACAAAACATTTTTTAGACTGATCGTCGAATACAAGACATGCGTCTAAGTCTCTGTGAAGACCCACCAACTTAATGCAATAATGGCTACCGAACGAAGAATCCTCGGATACTGCATGAGGAAGGACTGGTCGTATCCATCAGCCCATATATACATATTGGCCAACATCACACCAATCAAGGACAGAATCCTATCCCTCAGCAGGAAGTATGTCCTAAGAACCATAGCTGGCTCGAACAACAGAGTCAAACGAATATTAAAGACTCAATGCAATCATCGAGTGCAAATACTCACTAGGCTTCTCATAAGAAAAGTCCCGTTTTCTCCAGCAAACTTCTTCACAATACTGGACATTAACTTCCTGATAAGTATTTTAATATCATTCCCCATCAAAAATCGCAGTTAAAACTGCGCGCCAAAAACGCTGATAAAGAGCCGTTCCTACTGTATGGCTGGTGACCCCTAAAGTACCTGAACTGGCATGCTAGGCAAAGCTTCCCATTTTCTCTTGTGCGCTCCTCTGTCGTCCACACAAACAATCCACCTTCTGCTTCCCCCTGCTTCTTAATAGTTTACTACTTCTTACCAACTCAGAATTCCAGCAATTGACGTTTACCACACCCCTATTACTCCGAAAAAAAGGAGTACCCCATTCCTTGAAGAGGCTCAGGCCTAAACAAGGTTAAAACTCTAGTGTCAGCAATAAATCATCAAGCAATAGCATCATATGCTTTAAATATATTTTCAATTTTGTTTCCAAAGCTCAAATCGAAATTTTATGTTATAGATTTTAAAGATTTGACTAACAATGGAAATTTCACTATGACTGATAAAATTATATTAGTTAAAATTATATTTTTTACAAAATATAATTCTAATGACCTTAAACCTTCTCCTTGTATATTGGTAATTATTTTCTGTTTAGTTTGTAAATTATTAAAATATTTTATAGATTGTTTGTTTGGGAAAGTATGTAGTATTTATTTTCATATTTTTACATTTTTTTACTTTCTTTTGCTGTAGGTACTATAATATTATCTAACTGAACGGTATATTCTAACGACTTTGCTTTAAAATATATTGTTTTCTGTTATTTCATAAAATCACATTGTTAAACTGGCTAGCTTATTTATAGCAGTTTTAAGTTATTTTGTGTCGCCAACACACACAAAACGTGTGCAGTATCATATTTCTGTGACCATGTAGTTAAAATTATTGCCATTTAAAATCGCAATACAATAGAGTGATTTATTGGTATACCCTTGCCCTACAGCCCACCTCTACGCGTGACTAGTGGGGTTCTGACAATCTCAAGACGACACTTTCTATTGAGACAGCGTACTGAAAACATCGACTGTATCGGTTACTTCCTATCAAGCCTCGTCGTTCCGACGTGGTACCAACGCTACTCTACGAACTATGAATACATCAATATTTCAAAAGGTGAGTCGATAATGTTTGTACAGATAACAGTATGAGCTAAAGCCCGTTAATTCTCGTAATTTATTCAAAATGATAGTTGCTATTTTTCACTAATGTTTTTACAGTCAAAATATTGCATTTCTCCATTATTATGTCTAAAAGAAAAAATTACTCTTCGTAATAATCACAGGAGATTTTAATGCAAAATTTGGTACAAAAGAAGACGGCGACACACAATATATCGGTCGCTTTGGGCTGGACAACAGGAACGAAAGGGGTGAGATGTTGTACAACTACTTAAACAACGAAAATTTATTTTGTCTGAACAATTTCTTTAAAAAATTTAAACAACGTAAATGGACATGGATCGGCCTAGACAAGAAAACTAAGAACGAAATAGACTACATACTCTCCAATAACAAAAACATATGCACCGACGTGACAGTACTAAACAAATTCTAGACCGGGAGTGACCATAGATTAGTTAGAGCGAACATTAAAATACAGACGAGAGTAGAACGAAGGACACTTATTAAACGAGAACGATACCCAACCACCGATGTCTTGTTTCAAAAACAAACGGAATACCAAAAAGAGCTAAGCACAAGACTAAAATCAATAGAGACACTAAAACAAATGGATATAAACGGACTAGCCACTAAAATAAAAGTAACTGCTCAAACACGAAAACAGCCAAAACATCTAAACTCCAACCTAATACAATTAAACTACTCCAAGAAAGACGAAACAGAACAGATCGAACTTCGGACAGCTTTAAAAGTTTAAACAAAAATGCGAAGAAAGAAATCAGGAACGATCATAGAAACTATAATAACAATCTAATAAAAAAATATAATACAAGATAACTGCAACATGAAAGTACTCAAAGCAAAAAACTCAAGCGGCACAACAAAAATCATAGAAATAAAAAATGAGAAAAACGTCACCGTCAGAGACAGAAAGGAAATAAGCAAGGCCATTGAAAAATTCTACACTAAACTATACTCGGTAAATACACAACCACAACAACGACGTACTCAACGAACAATAATTAACACCGACTCCGTGATATAACCGACTATGAAATAAGAATGGCCCTAAATCAACTTAAAACGAATAAATGTCCGGGAGAGGATAAAATTACAGTTGAAATGTTGAAAATTGGTGGCAGAAAAATGGAACAGGTATTAAGTGTTTTATTTAATAAAGTAATTGATGAAGGAAAGATTCCTCAAGAATGGTACAACTCCGAGGTCATTTTACTATTCAAGAAAAGAAACAGAGCAAACATCGAGTATTACCGATCAATATCCTTGCTATCACATCTGTATAAATTACTAACTAAAATCATAACCAACCGCCTAACACATAAGCTCGATTTCTATCAACCTATCGAGCAGGCTGGATTCAGAAAACATTTTAATACCATAGACCACTTGCACACCGTAAGAACACTGATAGAAAAATGCACCGAGTATAATGTTCCAATTCATATGGCGTTCATCGATTTCCATAAAGCATTAGATTTCATCGAATTATGGGCAGTGCTTGAATCTCTAGAAAATGCACGCATAGATTCAAGATACATTAATATAATTAAAAACATATATGAAAATGCCACCATGCATATAAAGCTGGACGAAAGCACAAAAACTAATCCCATAAGACTACAACGGGGAGTAAGAGAAGGAGACACCATCTCTCCCAAACTATTTACCCTTGCTCTAGAAGATATTTTTAAGAAACTGGAATGGAACAATAAGGGTATCAACGTCGACGGATCATACTTAAACCACTTGAGATTTGCAGATGACATAGTTTTAATAGCCGATAATATCCAAGAACTAAATGATATGTTACAACAATTAAATGCAAAAGTTTCAGGAGCGGTAGGCTTAAAAATCAACTACAGCAAAACAAAAATACTGAGCCGAGACCAGACAAATATAACAATACAAAATCATACCATAGAAAATGTGGAACATTATGTATATTTAGGTCATTGTTTAGGTCATGTGTAAAAAGAAAGAATGGATGTCTGATGAGATAATGGATATGATGGATGAAAGACGTAAATTCAAGAATAAAAATGCAGAAAAATACCAGCAGATCCACAAAACCATAAGAACGAAAATTCGAGAAGCCAAAGAAAAATGGTTTTCCAACGAATGCAGGGAAATAGAACAATACGAACGAAAATACGATAGTTACAATATGCACAAAAAAATAAAATCGATGACAAACAAGAGGAAATTCAATAAGTCACCCAACAGCATAAAAGATAGAGATGGAAATCTTATCTCGGAGCCATCAACGATCTTAAAAACATGGAAATCATACATAGAAAAATTATTTGCATCTAACAGGACTGATGATCACCTATATGGAGAAGGAGAAACAGGACCTTCAATTCTTAAATCGGAGATAGAAGATGCCATTGCAGCACTAAAAAACAATAAGTCAGCAAGTCCGGACAATGTACCCTGCGAAATATTAAAGATCCTATGTAAATCAGACAAACAGTTCCTTGACAATCTAGTTGTACTTTTTAACAACATATATAATAGCGGTAAAATCCCGGAGAACTGGCTACAGTCAACATTTGTTACAATCCCGAAGAAACCAAATGCCCAGATTTGTGATGACTACCGGCTCATAAGCTTGATCAATCATGTCACTAAAGCGTTCACTAAGATCATTCACAGAAGAATATATGATAAATGTGAGTCAAATATTGATAGATCGCAGTTTGGTTTTCGGAAAGCACTTGGAACTAGAGAAGCAATTTTCGCTCTCCAGGTGCTTATACAACGGTGTAGAGACGTTGATAAAGACGTGTATCTGTGCTTTGTAGATTTTAGAAAAGCATTTGACAATGTCAATCATGAACAATTGATAGGTATTCTGCGAAAGACAGGTATTGACGACAAGGACATTCGAATTGTGGCAAACCTATACTGGGGTCAAACAGCAAGAGCAAAAATTGGCAACGAACTCACTGAAAGCGTGCAGATCAAAAGGGGTGTCCGTCAGGGGTGTATATTATCCCCACTCCTGTTCAATATGTATTCCGAGGAAATATTTAACAAATGTATGGAAAATGCAAATGAGGGCATTAAAATAAACGGCGAGTTAACGAACAATATAAGATACGCCGACGACACGGTGATCCTTGCCAGTACCATAGACGAATTACAACAAGTAATGGAAAGACTTTATTCAGTTAGTGAGGAATACGGCCTGAGCCTCAACTTCAAGAAGACAAAGTGGATGCTGATAAGCAAAAAGCAACAACCTGCTCGACAATTACGGATAAGTAACATATTAATTGACCATGTAGAATCTTATGTATACCTTGGCACCAACGTAAATGCAAAATGGGAACAGACCATAGAAATTAAGGCGAGAATAGAACGAGCTAGAGCAGCATTTAGCAATATGAAAAAGCTCCTCATAAGCAAGGATTTGTCTCTTCCCTAAAACTACGTATAGTTAAATGCTACATTTTTCCGATCTTGCTGTATGGCGTGGAGGCCTGGACGCTGACGGAGACGCTAACGAGAAAACTAGAAGCATTCGAAATGTGGGTGTACCGACGCATTCTTCGTATATCCTGGACCGAACATGTCACCAACATAGAGGTACTCCAAAGAATCGGAAAGGAGAAAGAAATCGTGAATACAATTAAACAAAGAAAGCTTGAATATCTAGGCCACATATTGAGACACGATAAGTACCGTCTGCTACAATTGATTGTCCAGGGAAAAATAGACAGTAAGCGAGGGCCAGGCAGGAGAAGACACTCGTGGCTCCAAAATCTGCGGAAGTGGTTCGGGCTCACATCGGTAGAACTATTCAGAAGCGCCGCAAACAAGATCAAAATTGCCATGTTAATAGCCAACGTTCGCAACGGACAGGGCACTTGAAGAAGAAGAAGGTCATGTTATCAAACTAGGAAAACCAAATCAAGATGCTGAAATTAAAAGAAGAACACAACTAGCTTGGGGCGCTTTCGTCAAACTAGCACATATCTTGAAAAAATCTCCATTCCTATAAACTTAAAGAAAAATGTGTATAACCCATGCATACTACCAGTTTGTAACTACGGCTTGGAGGCAGTAGCACTTACCAAAAAATCTGCCAAAAAATTAGAAATAACGCAAAGAGCAATGGAACGAATCATGCTTGGAATATCACTAGAAGACAAGATTAGAAACACCGAGATAAGACGTAGAACCAAGATTAGGGATATTGTGGAAGAAATTACAAAAATTAAATGGCGCTAAGCAGGTCACGTAGCCCGACATAATGACAACAGGTGGACACGGAGACCAAGAACGACAACAAGAAGCATGGGAAGACCTCAAAAAAGAGGGTAGATGACATAAGAGCAGTGGCAGGCAAACAGTGGATTAGATTGGCGTAAGATAGAGAAAGATGGAAGCAATTGGAAGAGACCTACATTCAGGAGTGGATGGAAAATGGTTGACAAAGAAGAATGTCTAAATTCATTTAACCAGCAACCTCTAAATTTTATTACATTGTTTATTGTTTGCGTTAACATGAAACGTAAAGCGATTGGCGATGAAGAGAAGTTTTTGCTTTTTAAAAAAAATTAGATTTTATCTATTGATATTCCTACTGAACCTTGAAAATAACCAATCACTGCATGCGTTTCAGCCACTTTTCTCTGGTAATACAAGAAGATGTTTAAAAATTTCATACTTTTATATAGCGGTCCTACCTTTAGAAAATAATATAAACGAAAATGTTACAAGAAAATTTAAACCCAAAACACGTTGACTTACTCAAACCCGCTTGTTTTTAAGGTTGCTTCTGGAAATGTAAATGGATTCGTTGGTGGAATGAGCAATTCTGGAATACCATTTGCAAGTCGAGGTCGAACAAGTTCTACGTTTTTCAATATACAAGGTCCAACTTCTATCAATGATTTCTGACATGGTTGTAAGAATTCCGCTGGAACCAAAAGTGTTAATTATTGCTACTGTACAAACTTAGGCCTCCTGTAAATTGATTTAGCAATTTCTTTAAAAATTTACATCAAAAGTATAATAACTAGTAAAAGCAATTCTTAACACGTTAACTGCCACACTTATCAAAAATGGTTTTATAAGTCTCCTGATGTTTTAATGAAAATAATATGTAATGAACAATAAAAAACATATTCTAAAAAATAGGTTTTGTCTTGGTCGTATAATAACGTGAAGCAATTATTAAATTAAAGAATTTGAAATTCGTCATTAAAAGAATGATTATGGCCTAGAAGTTAGATTCTAGGTACAGAGATCACCTTCTAGATGAAAATCAATATTTTAATGGCGAATTTAAAATTCTTTACATTAAAAATTAAGGCCTAAAGCAATTTTAATTAGAATCTATAGAAATCAACAAATTAAAAAATACAGACATAATTCTAAATGACCAACTTGAGACACACAATTCTCCCCTCCTCAACTTATTCAGTTAAAGACTATAAAGTGTGAACACATACCAAAAATAGATCACTTGAGAAAGGCTTCTTCTTATGGTGCGCTATCTCATTAGTGGATGTTGGCGACAATTCTGGCATATTCCTCTCGATCTTGTGTGGCTCTAAAGAGTGCATGGGCATCGAGGTTTGTCCAATCCCTTATGTTTTTAAGCCATGAGTATTTCTTTCTTTCGATGGCCCGGTTTTCTTCTATCTTCCCTGCAATAATAAGCTTTAAGAACTGGTACTTGAAATTTCGAAATATATGACCCAGATAAGCAGCTTCTTTTTATTGTTGGCAGCAATTCTCGTTCTCTGTCCATTCGATTTAATACTTCGACATTCGTTATGTGATCTGTCCAGGGAATTTTAAGTAGTCTTCTAAATATCCACATTTCAAAGGCCTTCATGACATTGGCCTTTATGTTCCAGGTTTCTACACCATATGGTGTAGAAACAAAGCAAACATTGAAACATTTTACAAAGCGATATCGAATATGGATGCTGTTGCTTAGCAAGGTTCTCATATTAGTAAATGGTGTTCTGACTTGCTCAATCCTGCTACGTATCTCTATGTCTGAATCTAGATCTTCAGTTATCCAACTACAGAGATATCTAAACTTGGGGACCTTTAGGATGTACTTATTGTTTACTCTTATATTTAATTGCATATTTCGTGTTCTACTAACCACCATTACCTTCTTTTTGTCTATATTAATCTTCAAGCTCAGTCGTTCTCCTTCAGTGTTTATTCTATCTATTAGTCGTTGTAGCGCTTCTTGGCTATCAGCTATTATGACTGCATCATCAGCATAGTGAAGATTACTGGTAGTCTGTCCGTTGATTTTGATTCCGTCTTCAGTGTCACTTAAGGCTCTATCGAAAATCGTTTCAGAGTAAAGATTAAAAAGGAGGGGTGACAGAACACAACTCTGTCGTACACCTTTTTCGATTGAGAAATATGGTGTAGATTCCAGTTCTACTCTCACAGATGTCACTTGATTCATATAAAGGTTCTTTATAATTTTAAGGTCATTCTCATCTATCGAACGTTCCTGGAGCAATCTTACTAATTCTGAATGTTTAACACAATCTCTGAATGATTAACAAAGTATCAAAAAAAATTAACTATTGCCTCCTTTTTCAGAACATTTAAAGGCTTGCATGCACCTATCATGTAGCCTTCCGAGCATACTTATGATTGATTATCATTTTTCCTCAAACAAAGATAAAAAAAACCATTAACAAGATCCAAAGCTGCCGGTTTACATAAAAATTTAATACATTTCAGTATGTACTGTTATCGGAAAAGATTTAAGAGAAAATAAATACTTCATACAAGCCTTTTAACAAAAAGACGAATTCCTAAACACATCAGTTATGTCATCACTGTAATGTATAATTTATTGGTGGATTTCATAGAATCTTGTAGAGATGATTTGACCAATTTAGAAAACGAAGAGAAGTACCAAAAGGTAAAGATATTGCATATACTGATAATAAAAAACGGCAAAAAAAAAGAAAACTATATTAAAGTTAATAAGTAGTATAAAACTATTAAAAGAAAATTCAAAACAATTTTTCATGATATTGACGTTAATGAATCTTCATTACTGAATAATTTAATCTTCAGTAGAGGAGTTAAGATGTTATGAACAAAATTTAAACCTAGATCCACATTATGTCAACAAAAACTAAATAGTTTATCATTACTTTTTATAGAAAAAGAGTTATTAAATAGTTTTAAATTTGAAAAAGGAGGCAATACAACCAATCAATCTAGGTATATTTGTTTAAGTATTCTTTTTTGTTTCAATAAATGATGTTTAATATTTAATTTTTGTTCATGTGTATTACTTTTTTTTTCTTGGAATGTGTTATAATAAATAGAACTACATACTGTAAGCTTTGAAACCAAACTACCAAAAGCAAAGTATGTATCATATATTCCGCCTTATCCTTAGTCCGCCACTGTATATAATGAGCTTAAAATGAAGATTTAAGAAAATAAATTAAAAAGTACTCACATAATTATGAAATTAAAATGGAAGTGCAGAACAATTAAATAACAGTCAAAAAATTACAAAAACTAGATGCAAGCTTTAAAAAAGTACTATGGGTGCCTTTATCAAGAGAAATAGCAAGATTGTAATAAAGATGATGTAAAAAATGAGTATTTTACACATAATTGTATCAAATATCGTTCAAACTTACGTAACTTCCTGCCTAGGGCCACATTAATTAATCCAAATAAAAATAAGTAGAAAAGCAAATGCATTTTTAATGAGATACTGATGCAAACTGGTATGAAACACTTAACTCTTGAAGCAATAAATAGCTTAATTTTGACCTCAATAATTATATTTAATAATAATTGCCAATAATCGATGATCATAGTTATAATTAGGGAAAAAATATTGAAAAAAGGTATTGAAGACGTAGACACTGCTTTTAATGACGAATATGTATTTAATAACAAAATATCGAACATAACAACATATATGTTACTTGATTATTATGATTAGGAAGATGGAACACGTAGAAAAAACCTAAACGCACACAATAAAATTGAACAAAACGAAATAATATATTCTACGGCGGAGAAGCACATTGAAAATCTGAGTTTTAAATAAGCGGTTTAGATGATAAAGAAACTAACAAAGCAATAAAGCGGCATTTTGGCAGAAGAATTATTAAAACATGGGTGATCTGAACTCTGGAGGAGAACTCATTTTCTCTGTCAGAGGAATGGGCAGTTGACTTTATACAGCCAATATATAAGGAATATGATAAGAGGAAATGTTACAATTATAGGCCAATTACATTGCTAAATGTAGTATACAATTTCTTTCTGGTATTATCTATAATAGGTTGTTAGAATAATCCGAAAATATAATCGGGATTATCATAATGGATTTAGCCTAAATAGAATCACAAAGTAGATGGAGAACTGACTCCTCTATTTGACATAAATCTAGGTGTGAGATAGGGAGATGCGCATCAACCCTGCTAATCAACCTAGTTCCTGAGGCAATTATCAAAAAAACAATGTAAGCAGTCATATAAATAACAAATTCGTATAAATTACTGCTTATCCATATGATGTATGATGAAGTATAGTGAAACAGATAAAGACTAATGAAAGTGTTCAAGGAAATTGATCCTGAGACACGAAAATAAGGATTTAAAATAAGCAAAACAAAAACCAAGTACATGATCGTCAAAAGAAAACCTAACAATGAATATAATATTGCAATAGACAACTCTGATTCAGCGAGTAGAAACTTTTCTACGATCCCAGCAGAGAATAGGTCTACTTCAGGGAAGCGACCCTAGCCACGCGAGCCATGCTTTACTGTTAAAACTCTTCACTGAGAAAAAACATGTCAGATCCCTTTATCTTTCCGAAATCTACTGACTTTTTCCTACCCCTCCGTGATGAAGGGCAGCAGCTATCATCAGTACTAGCTCAAGGCACAGAGAAAATGATCCTGGATCGGCTTGAAACTTGACCACCATAAGCATGACTTTAGCAGTTTAAATGTGTGAAAGGCATTCCACCCCTTTCCATTGTTCTTTCACCTCTTATTGGTTTTGAAAGTCGTTGCTCAGCTGTTGGAAATGTTCCAGTCTGACTAAATTCTTTTCAGTTGTTTTATTCAATTTTTGTCTTTACTTGCATAAACAACTGCCGATGTTATTTGGAAAACGCTTGCCTTGTTATTGCTTGCAAAGCATTTCTCCCAAATCTGCTTTTGCTGATCTAGATAATCTTATATTTCGTTATATACAATTTCACCAGTAAATTATTTGTCCGTTTACAGATCTTTTCTAAAACAATTTTTTAGGTTGTGCTTTGCCTTACATTGCTCCACATTGCTGCATTTGCTAGTTTAATTTTTAACAAATTTTCTGATCAGTTGTCTGTGTGATACTTTCTTTGTTTTTTCATTGTTTCTATAATTGAGGGTTGTTCTATTTAGTTTGTTTCTCATATTTTAGCTTAACCTGACTCATATATTATTTTTGAAGTTATGTATTCCATGTATCTTCCGCTATGTCTTCTAAATAATTTGTCTCTTGTACATTTATAGCTAGTTTGGTGTTAATATACTCTTGTCATCATTGCATTTTTTGTCTTTTATTCTAGTCCGGACTTTTGCTGGGATTGATTCCTAACTTTTACTGGGAAAGAATTATGGTCAGAAATAATATTACAACCTGAGTAAGTCTTAGAGCTGTTTATCATTTCTAAATCTGTAGTTGACCATATTATAATTTATTTGGCATCTTGAACGAGGCGTTAGTAATCAATAAGTTTTCCCACTATCAAATCGTTTTTTTTTTATTTCCGGCTTAAAGAATGAATACCATAGCTATAGTTCACGAGGAAAATTTACACAGCCGGTTCAAATACCTAATAGAGCTGTTCAAACTTATTAAGAAGAAAACATTGATATTTTGGTAGATCTTATATTAACATCATTATATAACACGGCTTTATGTGGTTAAGTTGATGATTTTTAGTAAATAAGTCAACTTTCTGGATCATTAATGCGATTACTAGTTGTTTAAAATCATAAATTAATGTCAGATCTATATTGCTAACTTGGTATAACCCGACAAGCGAGAGCTGGCGGGTTGCGCGTAGAACAAATTGAAAAGTGGAAGGGTTTGCTCATTTCTATTGCAGTCGGCTAGAAGTTCACATCGTGTATAACCGTTTAAGTACCTATACTATATACCTATAATCGCGATTAAGTAAATCTCCTATATCTCTTAGAATAATTCCTTTTCTATTTTCGCGCAGCTCACCCGCCAGCTCTCGCTTGTCGGACTATAGTAATAATCGATATCAATAATAAAGGCGGTACTAATAGTACCATCCCACCAGGAGTATTCTACTATTATTTTATTTCGTTAGTGTAAAGAAGGCGGAACTGGTTTGTTACTAATTCATTTTTAAGTACTTCCTTTTTATTTGTAGATATGATTTGACACAATTTGTAAAAAAGGTATAACCTTATGATACACTAAGAATTTATTGGACGTGAATATTTTGAAGGTTTGGCCTGTAATTTTTTGTGTTTTGTAGTAGTTGAATTTATAAAGTAATAAATTCTTAGACAAGAGTAATGCATTATTTTTAATGTTTACAATAATTACTGATCATTTTTATAGATATAGATAGATTTTATAGATAAAGTACATGGAATAAATTCGTTAAACGCTTGATTTAGCCACGTGACAAAAAAAGCTTAGACAGGTCTATTTTATTTTCTAGGTATCATTATTTATTTTAAATGGTAATATCTTATTTTAACACTATTATCGAAAAGAGCATATATTTTGTATACGAATGTGATATTTTTTTTATGTCGCTTATGTATTTGGGAAATAGAAGATATTTTGCTCAAATCTTAATGTAATTTATAAAAATATAAACAGGACGAAATAAGCCTACAAACTATTAAATTAAATTCTCAAATGACAAGCCATTTGCCTCTTGACAATATGCAAGACTATGTTAAAACTCTTGCAAAATTAAATATTAAGGGTATCAGCATTAATTAAATTAATTTCGGTCCCAGTGATACAACCCGTTGCACACATTTTGCACTATGTGTGGCCCAACTTTTACAACAATATTCTGACAAATATATTATATTTTGGCAAAAGTTTGAAATATGTTTAATTTGTAGAACAACAATTTTAACATTTGTTTTCAATACATATGTTAGTCCGGTACAAATAGAATCTCACGACTTTTGATGTTAAATAATTATGAATTTAACATTTTAGAATTAATTACCCATTGAGTTTCCTATGGCCCGTTTAACTATTCACCACCGGGTATGCGCCAGAAATGCAAAGTAGAGAATATTGGGAACTGGGTAAGATATAGAAGAGTAGAATGGAACGATCATATAGGCCGAATGACAACAAATAAAGTGGAAAAGACCACGACAGACGGTTCCTAATAGAAAGTCAAGCAGTAGAAATACCACGAAAACGATGGCAACTTACTGAAGGCATATTTATTAGTAATTATCTACTTCTTTACTATCTGTACTGTCTTCTTGGGAGTAATAATAATTTTTTTTTTTTTTACTAAAGACACTGAAGTGTACTTATATTAAAATCTGGTCAGTAAGACCAATTATCAATTTGTTTCTAACTTAAATTACTAATGAAAACTTAAAATTAGTTGTCTACTCACTAGTACATTTCCTATTATTTCTAATAACTAGCATTAAATTTAGCATGCATACTCGCACAACACTTTGCTCTGCTTTTCACTCACTCACTATACCAGTTCAAAAGGCTTTGTTCTTTTGAGCCTTCTCTCTAGGTTCGTATTGTCGAGGAGCTGGGTAGCCTCGACGTTTACATGATGATGGAGTCGTTGTTCATGGCTCCCTGCAAATTTCTTGATTATCTGATTGACATCTTCCATCTTAAGGTCCCGGTGAAGATCGTTGTTCCTAGCGTACCAAGGCGCATCTACGATGTTCCTTAGCACTTTATTCTGGAATACCTGGATTACTTTGATGTTACTAGGCTTGGCACATCTCCAGAGTTGGTAACCATAGGTCCATACTGGCCTCAGTATTTGTTTATAGATTAGGAGTTTATTATTTATGGATAGATACCTTCCCATCAACCAATACATTTTCTTGTAGCGGATGACTAGTTCTTATCTTTGCTTCTTCACGTGAGCTTTCCAGCGAAGTTTCGCATCAAGAGTGATCCCCAAGTACTTTGCTGATGTTGCAATAGGCACTTGGACATCATTTATTCTAATTGAAATATTATTAATTCTCTTATTGGTAAAATTTATATGGACTGATTTATTCTCATTCAGCTTAATTTTCCATTTTTTGGTCCATTCATTTATTGAATTTTGTAGTTTTTCTGTAGCTTCTTCGACGGTGTCACTTACAGCTAAGACAGCAGTGTCATCTGCAAAGGTAGCTATGGTGTCGTCTTCTAGTTCAGGTATATCACACGTATATATTAGGTATAGGACTGGACCCAATACACTCCCTTGTGGAACTCCTGCTTCAATATCCTGTTCGCTAGATATGATTGTAATATATTTGAATATTGTTTAGGCATAAATGATTTAAGTTTATTTATCAAACCGTTATGCCAGACTTTATCAAACGCCTACGCCACATCTAGGAAGGTTGCAGAACAGACTTTTCTTTTCTCTAATGATCTTTCAATTATAGCAGTTATTCTATGCACCTGGTCAATTGTCGAATGCTTATATCTAAATCCAAATTGATGATCTGTAATTATTTTCTTTTTTTAAATTATTGGTAGGATTCTTCGCAGGAGGAGTTTTTTAAACACCTTGGACATCAAAGGTAGGAGTGATATTGGTCTATATGATGGAATCGATAATAATTTCAACACGCGTGTCAGTACTTCAGTTAATTTTATGCATGCCTGACAGTTAGAAGTATGCCTGACATTTTGTATGGCTTTGTTACCATTTTGAAATCATTCAATTCGAACGTGGTGTTCTCAGGCGCTATCTTATTTATACTTGTGCCTAATGAGTTAGATCCAATTGAGTTCATAATAATACGGTGGGGTTCTTAATATGATATCATGAAAATCTATATTTGTCTACTTTTTTATTTCGAAATATGTGTCTCAACTGCTAGTGCTCATTGACACAATAGTACAATTTACATTTATATTTACATTTTTAATACTTTTACATTGGGGACAATATAAGCTACAGTACACTTTTTGGAATACATTTATAGCATTGTACAGCTTTATGTTTCTTAAAAAGTTTGTTACATTTTTACAGTTGCTGCTATTTGAGATACGAGTGGCTTTTAGGTTGTTACCAAGATTGTATTTACTTTTGACCGTTAGGTAGTGTTGACAGTCAAAAAGTACGGAAGTCGTGGTGTTGCCGTACTGGCACAAAGTCTGATTGCTCGAATTCATTGGGTGTACATGTGTAAGGCGTGAGTGTCCTATTGGTATTGCTTCTTTTCCAATAATCATTCCAAACGTCCATTATTTTTTGTTTAAGTGTTTTTTTTAGATCTGATCATGTTTGAATCTTTGTTGTTAAATGTAGATGACAAGCTCGTTTTGCTGCTAGATCGGCATTTTCATTAACTGGAATACCAATGTGATGGGACCCACAAAATTGTTACTGTAGTTGCATTATTTTGAAGACGATTCCATATACTCTGGATTACTTGAACTATCGGGTGGATACAATGTAAATTTTTTATGAAGTGCGTCGATGATAGAGAGTCAGTATAGATTGCTATTGTTTTATTGTCATTGAATAATTTTTTTAGCAGTAAAAACACTGCCATTGCTAGAGGATCGAAATCGGTTGACAGTAGTTGTAGCTTTTGTAAAAACACAGCCAACACATTCTTCACTCTTAGATGCGTCCGCGTAAAGAATCTTATCAAAGTTGCACAGATGTAGTTTTTCATGGAATCTGTGTTTGATTATGGAAGGTGATATTTTGTTTTTATTATATTTGAATAACTCGATATTAAGATTTGGAAGTTTGTATATCAATGAAAGGGGTGGTGATTGATATTATCTAAATAAGAAATTAATATTTGTATAGTGGACGGCACCATGCTAGAATTATTAGTAACTGCTAATTCTCTATTATAAATGAAATTTCTTGTATGGTTTGTGTGATTTGCTGAAACTCTAGCAAAAATAGCGGTAGAAATTGTCGTCTTGGATGTCATCGGATGTCATCAAAACATCGTCTTGGATGAAGTGGAAGTTCGAAACATTCTTCGTGAATGCGTTCCACCGGACTGGATCTGTATGCTCCTTGACAGACTCCAAGAGAAGTATTTTCGACTCTAGTAAACATACTAGTGATTTACTTGAGGGCATGTAGAGAACACTACCATAGTCAAGTTTGGAGCAGATAAGAGCTCGGTATATTTTTAGTAGTGTTTCCTCATCGACTTCCCAACTATAATCAGTTAGTTCTTTAAGGAGATTCATTCTTGAAGGCAGCTGCCCTTAAGTTCTCGAATGTGTGGTCTCCATGAAAATTTTTAATCGAAAATAATGCCGAGGAGCTTTATTTTATCTTCTACTTGGAGAATATTTCCATTCGGAGAAATAAATAAATAACTTTGGGCTTGGATCGGGAGAAGTTAAAGACATATTCCTTATTGTACAGGATCATTTATCTTCTTCTTCTTTAAGTTCCATCTTCTATCGAAGGTTGGAAATCATCACGGCTATGCGGACTCTGTTGACTGCCGCTCTAAAAAGTTCTGCACTACTGCATTCAAACCATTTATGAACGAACTTAAATCGTTTATACCAAGGAGAAATAGTGTGCTGCTTAGAACAAACCGTTGTGGGACACCGTTTTTGTTTGTATGATGTGAGGATGTTTTGTCGTTAGTAATTACTTTAAAGGATCGATCTGTGAGAAAGTTTTTTATAAAATAACATATATACCAGATAGTTTGATCTGACTTAGTTTGTTTAGTATCACAGAAATTGCGCTTTCTATGTAAAGGGAGATTGCAATTACTTCATATTTGTTGGATAGCGCATTTGTGGAGTGAAGAAAAAAAATATTGTCCATGGTTCATCGATTTGGTCTAAAGCCTGATTAAAATTGTATTATTTTCTTCAAGGTACCAAAGTAATCTTGTATGATATAAAAAACCATTTTTTCTAGAAGTTTACATAATGTACAGGTGAGAGAGATTCGCCTGTATAAGTTTAACGTGTTTGGAGATTGATCGCACTTTTTGATAGGAATCGTTAGGGATTGTCTCTATAATGATGGGAATTGTTGGAAAGACCAAATGTTGTTAATTGTTAAGCAGTTGGTTTTTATGCTTTAACCAATCGCTAATGTCTGCCTTTCGAGATGCTAGTATTTTAATACGACGGCTGTGGTAAATTCTATTATAATTGTCGGTACTAGTTTTGCAAGTGTTAATATAAAGCAAAACGACTTTTCAAAAACATTCGAGTTCATATCTTGAAAATTTTTGTTGGACCAAAACAATGAGTGAAGTAGCGTTAAGTAGTAAATTTTACGATTTTGGAAAAAATTTAAAATTTCAATTTTATATAACTATTTTTTAATAAAACAATAACATAGAGTTAAATACAATTAGATAATACTTAATAAGCCATTTTAAAGCAATATTACGTAAATTTCATTTAAGGAAATAATTCTTCAAAAGAAAATCTGTTGAAAATCTGACCAGCAATTCCCATGAGCACTCCTTTAATACTGCTCACAGCCACTGGATGTAGGTCGTCTAGAAGAGCTCTAATATTTTCATTGATAACTCTGAAACAAAGAAAGGCTATGTTTATACTATATTTCACGGTAAACTATTGTTATATTAGATATGCACGTGAACTTGCAAATAATTATTCGAGTTTGAATATATATTTCAGTATTTCTCGAGTTCTTTATCAAAATACTAATGTTTTAGTGATTTTCTATAAACAAAATAATACAAAATAATAATAATAATAATAAAACTCTCCGTTTATTCAGGTCGCTTAAGGAGATACAAAGTTAGTAACAACCGTAAATGCGACAATATACTTTTTGAGAATTCAGAGAAGGTTTTCTATAGGAAATTAAATTCCACTGTAGAAAATGTAAATAAATCCTACCCAAGCCACGAAGAAATTCACGAGTTTTGGGGAAATCAACTTTCGACGCCAGCTACTCATAACAACAATGCTGGATGGATTGAAGATACGGCGAACAATTGTCAAAACTACAGGAATATTCCTTATGAACCTTTCACCACTGAAGAAGTCTTGAACATCATCAAAGAGCTTCATAACTGGAAATCTCCTGGACCAGACGGAGTTCAAAACTTCTGATTAAAGAAGTTTTGGAGTGTTCATGAGCTTTTAACAGTATTTATTAATAATATTATTTCTAATTTACAGGAAATACCATCATTTCTTACTCAGGGAACCACTTATCTAATACCGAAGGATCAAAATAACACCCAAGATCCAGCCAAGTACCGCCCAATTACTTGTCTTCCAACTTTGTACAAATTGGTCACATCCTGTGTGGCCCGGCGTATCTACCAACACTGTGCTCTGAACAATATCATAGAGCCCCAACAGAAACGATGCGCTAAGGGCTCCATGGGATGCAAAGAACAACTTATTATCGACTCAGTCATTTCTAACCAGGCATACACCAAAAAACTAAACCTGTTTACTGCCTTCATTGACTAATATATAAAGTCGATGATAATCTCGTGACCTTTTTGAAGCATATCATGACAAAGTGGAAGACTAAAATTCACCTTCAAATACCTGGTGAAACCAATATCGAAACTGAAGATATCGCTATTAACCGGGGCCTTTTCCAGGGGGACTCGTTGAGTCCACTTTGGTTCTGCCTAGCGATGAACCCACTATCTCAGCTGCTGAACTCCACTGACTCAGGATTTAGCATCAAAAATAACAACACTGTTGTGGCGAAGCTTAGTCATCTGTTGTATATGGATGATTTGAAACTAACGGCTTCCACTCGAAATCACTTAGATCAGATGCTAAAAACTGTAGAATTTTTCTCAAATGATATCAGTATGCATTTTGGACTAGAAAAGTGCCGTATACTAAATATAGTCAGAGGAAAGGTTCAGCCCGGAGGTTGCGATATGCAAGATGGCCAAAACATCGAGGCAATGGGTGAAAATGATATTTACAAATATCTCGGAGTAAAAAAGGCGTGGTAAATTGACCATAAACAGATGAAAACTGAACTAACTTCGGAGTTCGTGCGAAGAATAAGACAACTAAATCGGTCATATCTTAATAGTAAAAATTTGTTTAAGGCATTAAATACGTACGCCTGTTCCGCGCTGAGCTACTCATTTGGTATTATAAAGTGGTCAAAAACGGATATAGAGGGTCCTCAGCGGAAAGTAAGAACACTTCTCACAAAGGCGCAAAAACATCATCCACGCAGTGCAGTAGAGAGAACAATATTACCGCGGTATCAAGGAGGAAGAGGACTTATGGATATAGGTGAGCAATTAGATAAACAAATTGCTAATTTAAGATCTTATTTTCAGGTACAGGCTGAGACATCTACTTTACATCAAGCAATTTGCGCAGTAGATGACACAACGCCGCTTAAACTGAGGGAACAAGAAATGCGCACAAACCATCTGACAAAGCAAGAAAAAATGCGCACCTGGATGAGTAAACCTCTGCATGGGCGACATCTCAATGAGATCAACAAAGAATATGTCGACAATACAGCGTCGAACTATTGGTTGACATCAGGAAAGATGTTTCCCGAGACTGAAGGTTTCCTACTTGCCATTCAGGATCAGGTTATTCCAACTAAAAATTACCTGAAATATATTGTTAAAGATCCTCAAGTCCAAAATGACAAATGCCGATATGGATGCCAAGCCCAAGAAACCATCCAACATCTTACCGGTGGCTGCCAGGCATTTGTCGGTACTGATTATAAAGAACGCCATGACTCAGTAGGAAAGATTATCCACCAAGAACTAGCTGACAAACTGGGACTTCTCCAAACCGACCATCTTCCTTATTATCAATATGTCCCTGACAGAATGCTTGAAAATGACAACTACAAGCTATACTGGGACCGCACTGTGCTCACAGACCAACCAAAGGCCCATAATAGACCGGATCTCATACTAGTGAATAAAATTACCAGGCAAACAACACTTATTGATGTGGCGATACCTAACACTAACAATTTGCTTGTTAAATATAACGAAAAGATCGCCAAGTATAGAGATCTGGAAATACAAATCAAGAGACAATGGAGAATGGAAAGTACCCAGACAGTACCTATTGTTCTATCTACTACTGGTGTTATTCCCAAAAACCTCCTAGCGAACATAAAACAGCTGGGTCTAAATGAACATCTTTATAAGGCCATGCAGAAAGCTGTACTTCTCGCGACCTCCAGATGTGTACGAAAATTTCTGGGAGATACTCCGACATACCAAGTCACCTAGGGCTCGATAACACGGAAAGAGTCCCACCAGAGCTCAATCCTTTTGATACCGTAGGTATCTGGGATGAGTGAATTTTCCCCTTAGAGGGAGTGTGAGCCGTATGGCTAAATCTGGGATAATAATAATAATAATATGATGATAATGATAATAATAATAAGCTGTACTACTCTTAACACCCCGATGTGTACGAAAATTTTTGGGAGACACTCCAGCATACCAAGTCACCTAGGTCTCGATAACACGGAAAGAGTCCCACCAGAGCTCAATCCTTTTGATATCGTAGGTATCTGGGATGAGTGAATTTTCCCCTTAGAGGGAGTGTGAGCCGTATGGCTAAATCTGGATAATAATAATTAGTATGCACTTTGGGTTATGCAAATGTCGTGTACTAAATATAGTCAAGGGAAAGGTTCAGCCCGGGGGATTCGATATGCAAAATGGCCAAAACATCGAGGCTATGGGCGAAAATGATATGTATAAATATCTAGGAGTAAAGCAAGCGCAGAAAATTGACCATAAACAAATAAAAAAAGGAATTAACATCAGAGTTCATACGAAGAGTAAAACAGCTACTCCACTCACATCTTAATAGTAAAAATTTGTTTAAGGCATTAAACACCTGCGCATTTTCCGCGCTTAGCTACTCATTTGGTATTATTAAGTAGACTAAAACGGATAAAGAAACTCTTCAGAGAAAAGTACGAACACACCTCACAAAAGCACAAAAACACCATCCTCGAAGTGCAGTAGAAAGAACGACATTACCGCGGTATTTAGGAGGACGAGGACTTATAGATATAAGCGAGCAATTAGATAAATAGATTACTAAATTAAGAACTTATTTTCAGGTGCAGGCGGAGACATCTACTCTTCATCGCGCGATTTGCGCAGTAGATGACACAACACCGATCAAACTGAGGGAACAAGAAATGCGCATAAACCATCTTACTAAGAACGAAAAAATGCGCATCTGGATGGGTAAACCTTTGCACGGGCGACATCCGAATGAAGTCAGTCAAAACTGTGTCGACAATATAGCGTCGAACTATTGGCTGACATCAGGAAAGATGTTCCCTGAAACAGAAAGTTCATTACTCGTCATTCAGGATCAGGTTATACCAACCAAAAATTACCTGAAATATATCATCAAAGACCCTCAGGTCCAAAACGACAAATGCCGATATGGATGCCAAGCCCAAGAAACTATACAACATCTTACCGGAGGCTGCCAGGCATTTACTGCAACTGAATATAAGGAACGGCATGACTCAGTAGGGAAAATCCTCCATCAAGAGACAGCTTTTAAACTGGGACTTCTACAAACAAACCATCTCCCATATTATCAATACGTTCCTGAGAGTATGCTGGAGAATGACAACTACAAGCTATACTGGGATCGCACTGTGCTCACAGACCAAACTGTAGCACATAATAGACCATATCTCGTGCTAGTTAATAAACTAACAAGACAAACAACTTTAATCGATGTGGCTATACCTAACAACAATAATCTGGGTGTTAAGTACAACGAAAAGATCGCCAAGTACAGAGATCTGGAAATACAAATAAGAAGACAATGGAGAATGGAAAATACCCAGACGATACCTATTATTTTTTCTACCACTGGAGTCATTCCGAAAAACCTCCTAGAAAACATAAAAAAGCTGGGTCTAAATGAACATCTATATAAGGTCATGTATCTATATAAAGCTGTGCTACTTTCGTCGTCCAGATGCGTGCGAAAATTTTTAGGAAAAACACCGACGTACCAAGTCACTTAGGACTCGATAACATGGAAAGAGTCCCACCAGAGCTCAATCCTTTTGATACCGTAGGTACCTGGGCTGAGTGAATTTTCCCCTTAGAGGGAGTGTGAGCCGTATGGCTAAATCTGGAATAATAATAAATTACTCGAATTCCACTGTCTGGAATTCAAGCTGGACTGTGTCCGATATCTAACATGCAAACATGTCATTGGATTGATCTTAATAGACTATTAATTATGAAGAATAAAAATAATCATAATATTTGTATTGTACCACACCATACAGTAACTAATCAGGATATGTGAGAGTACATATTTGGTTATTAATAAAAACATCAATACAAAAAAATGAATACATCAGCCATTATCAACAAAAATGTTTGCCCAGTACGACAATTTTACAAAACCTCAAAGTAGGTCAGGACCCTACTGAGATCAAATAAATTGTGATTAAAAATGGATCTGACGATAATGATAATGAATTTAACGAGGAACATGCATCAAACAGACTATATCTGAAGCAATAACACCTCCTATCGGGGTATAATCTAGCGAAAATGTATTTTTAAGCCTAATCACAAAATAAATAATAGTAGAAACAACAAAATTGACGATGCCTCTACCAAAAATATTGATGCTACCAATTAAAAACACATGAATAACTTGAATAAGCTGTTCACTTATTTTAAAATATAAATAAAGCCAAAGATATTCTATTAGGTTTCTGAGGGCAGACGGGTCACTATATTTTCTTCTACGACACATTCTATAAAACTTGCCCAAGAAAGAATCACGGAAATGGCTGATGAATATAACGGCCCCGTGTACAGGCACTCAATAAATGGAGCAAGGGTGCTGCTCAACCACGAGCTCGATATATTGTCACGGGAGATTTTAATGCGAAGATTGGCGAAGGAGAACAGGAAGATATCTTAGAAAAATATTTTCTGGAAATACAAAATGAAAAAGGAGATATGTGAGATTACGTGGGCAATACAAACGCCAAAAAAAAGGAAAAGAAAGCTCTTGGTTTCTTTGGGAGACAATGGAATTAAAGCACTGTGTGGTCTATTTGACAGAATTTATAACACTAGGATATTACCAACTGATTGACTCAAGTCAAAATTTGTTACAATACATACAGTGAATATCGGACAATAAGTCTGATAAGTTACGTTTTGAAGATCTTCCTGCGAGCAATACATAGCAGAATATAGACGATATTAGAGAAGATTAGCAGTACTCCATTCGGATTTGGAATTGACTTGGGTATGAATAAGGCCTTATTCAGGCCACTTTTATAAAAATAAAGAGCGTACTTTTCAGCCAGGATTTTAATATTGACATTTGCATTCGAATGACATATTGCTATATTTTTACAGTACTACTGTATAGAGGGGAAGCGTGAACCCTAAGTAAGGCGATACGTAAACTTTTGGAAGCCTTTGAGATGGTTATATAGATGACTACAAATAAACTGGGTTGACAGAGTTAGAAATGAGGAGGTCATTATGGAGAAGCAGAACATTATGGCCAAAAAATCTAAGACAATGGTACAGAAAATCGACTACACATCATTATTTAGAGCTGATGTTAATAAAGTCACAATAGCGAATATCATAACCAACAGGATATCCAACAATCGATAACGGTCATGCAACTAGAAGAAGAAGAAAGATATTATCAGAGTAGAAATAAATACTTCAGGCATCTTAGCAGTTATTCAACTTTATCCAAGAGTAGTTATCAGAGTAGAAATAAATATACTTCAGGCATCTTAGCAATTATACAACTCTTATTAAAATTTCACTTATTTTCATCTGATGACCAAACAAAATCGAAATGCACAAAGTTCAAAAAACCTACCTAACAAAGAAACTATTAAAGCAGCTTAACCTACTTAAGGAGAACCAATTACTTACACCGATAAGTCAATTGAATGATTCTAAGCCCTAAAGCCATTTGGATGTATTAAATAGGGCATTAAGTGTTTATTGGTTTACGGCGATTTAAAATTTTTAAAATTGACTTACTTGTTTGCATTTTTAGTTAATTCCTCATTATCGCCTAATAGTTTATCAAAATGAATGAATGCTGTTCCAATATATACATCGAAGGTAAAATCATCAAAATCCAAGTATTGGTTTCCTTTTTTCGTTACCAATTTGCCAGTTCCTTCCACAGTAACAGATGTCGATGCTAAAATATTTAAACGCATTATTCGAAAACCAAGAAGATTTTTTAACAAACAAACATTTGCTTGTACTTGCATTTTTAAATTTTGGATGGGATCGATAGACACAAACTATTTAAAATTATGATAAAATGAAATTTTTTACACCTAATCAAAGTAATCAAGTTTGTACAGAAATACTAATATGAGATCTAAAATTCGTTTAAACGTAATCAAAATAGACCCATATTCCGAAAGATTTCCGCGGTTAATACAATAAAACCTAGAGCTAAGATTTGTAACATTTTTTTTTTATAAAAAAAATACTAAACAATTTTTAATCCCTTTACCTCTGTTGCTGAGACGTCCATCGCAGTATTTGCAAATATATATGCGGGTGGTTTTGTTTATCATTAGAAAATTTTATCACGAATTTCTCAGTACGGAAGAATCGACTTATTAAAAGACGTCGGTTGGGTTAATCCTTAACTAATCTTTTTCCGGTTACGAGCGGGTTGTGTTTGATGCTTTAGCAGGCAAAGCCGTGGAAGGTATTTTATGGTATTTTTCTGTAAAAACCTAATCCAAAAGATTTTATTTTTTTCACGTCCAAGTGCTGGTAGCGTTGTTTACCTCGAACCTTTCGGACTTTTTTATCTTCATAGAAATGGATACAGGCTATCCTGTCATTTTGAAGTGGGGGATATCTCACCTTTTTTGGGTAGTTTGGCAAATTTTGAGAGAAAAAACATTACTTCTGGCCAGGCTGTCTTTGAATATACACTTCTGGTAAGGCGGTCTTTGAGAAAAGATGCTTGTTACCTTACCGTCTCTGTGAATTTTTTCTAAGTGTATTTACACTTATATATTTGAGTTTCTTAATCCAATTCCCTGTTAGATTAAATATGGTTATAAAGTACCTACCTTTATTTTAAATTAAGTTTAGTGCTTGATACGCTTGATAAGTAAAGTATAATAAAGTCAGTAAAGTTGTATAGCAGCCATCGAGAATTACTGTAAGTTATCGTAATACATTATCTTCAATTATCTGGGCTAATATTATAGCATATTGTCATATTATCTTTAATTATCTGGGCCAATCCACGTTCAACCATTTCTTCACCTGTAGTTAAGGTTAACTACCGATTTAACAATTGAATTAAAAGAACAATTAATATTTTAATCTGAACTTTCAATCAGCTATCAAGAACTTCTAATAAATAATTAAAACGAACATTTAATTCTCAGTAAGAACAGTCAATCAATAAATAACCGTGCGAAGAGATAATTAACTTAACCAAGTGCGGGTTGGTTTAATTTTTATTCCTGTAATCGTTTTGTATTCTTTGAATTTAACTTTAATTAACTTTGTGTTATTTGTTATTCATTTTTTTTATTTACTGTACCAGTTAACTCGAGATAAGCCCATAAATAGCAAGGAGAGACTTCTTTAATCAACTTTGGTTGAATTTTTTTATTTACCATCAGGCTCTTTTCGCTGATAATTTAAACTGTGCATGATTTTATTATATTGTATGTATAAAGTTATTTCTCAATCATAATACCATTTATTTTTATATGTATACTACCATTTAATAATTAATTGTGCATTTCTTCATCTATCTTTTTGTTTATTTCGGTATCGTTTCTAATATCTCTTATCCTGTCCTATCTTTACTTATTTCGTCCGTTGGACCCATTCCTGGTTGTAAAAGCTAGTTTCGAACCCACGACTCGCTCTTCACCAACCATCTGGCTGCCGTCCGCAGTGTCTCCATTGGTGACCTTTCTAGCACCATCAAAAAAAGGTTTCCGAGGTTACAGATTACAAAAATTAATATTAAACTCAGCAGTCTTCCGGGTTGAACCACGTTGATTCTCATTGCGCCGAGCTCTCGACATCCTCTCTGAGGTCTTCTTCAGGGCTTCTGAGGTGTTAGTCTCCCGAGCCCCCGGACACTCCTGCAATGATCACCAATCAATGCACTACTGCCGCTGGGAACACAGGATGGTTCAATTATACCATGAATGGTGACATGGTTTGAGTGGAGGTTGGCGCAAGGGTTAGCGCGAGGATGGACGCCAGGATTGGCGCGGGGCTTGGTGCGAACATTTCTGACAGTGGAATTTTAATTCGCGGATGGAGTGGACAATATATTCTTTATGAGAGGTCTTCATGTCGAAGGTCACCGTATGCCGTAATCTCCTTTATTGAGACTTTTTGTCCTTTTTTCAATTTCTATGGCTTCTCGGATAATTCTTGCAGGTTTTATTAAATAGTGGGTCGCCGAGCCATGCTGTCGCCGTAGGATTGGCGTTTGATTAGTATCATCGAGAATATAACTTTGTTTTGTTCCTTTATTCTAAATATATTTTTATTTTAATTAAACTTGAGTTTTACTAGGTCTACTGTATACAAGTCTACTCGTTACAATTTAAAGACATTTATTTTTTATTTTTATATATATTATATATTTTATTATATATTTTTAATTTGGTTTAAGTTTTTTTTAATACTGGTGTTTAATTTAAAATTATCAATTTCGTAAATATACTCACAGAAATTTCCGTTAAAGTTGCCAGAACTGTCAAGATCCAGCACTAATACCTTTCCTTTTATCTTGTATTTACATTTTGCTGCCATAACCGGAAATTCTGCAGAAAGTTTTATCTTTAAAGTCTCTGTATTGCACTGAAATTCTTTTATGTCAATTTTATCCAAATTGAATATTTCTACGTCTTTAAACGTAACCCTAAAAAATTATTATAAAATAAATACATATCGCAAAGTAGGAAAGAGTTGGAGAATATCGACTGCCGTGCAAAATCGACCAGTTATCTCATAAACTTGGCGCCATACGAGCGCAATGTACTTGATGGTCCCGAATGTACTAATTTATACTATTAGTACTATTAGTATTAGTATGGTAGCACCACTCATCCCGGGTGCATGTTATCAGTTTTGTTTGTAAATCTATTTTCTTTATTAAAAAAGTGTTAAACGTAATGAATTTTACGTTTCATACATACAGATGATATTTTGTCATAATTCGTATTCAATCTTACGTATTTTTAGCTATATATTTTAGTTTTAAAAAAATTGGGTTAAGTATATTGTCTAAAAAAAGTTTGTGCGATAACAAGCGGAGGAGTACTTCCGCAGAAGTAAATATAATAGGTGAGCGGTTTACCCCTCAAAAGACGCTTAGAAACAGAATATACCGACTAAAATTCTTTTTGCATTTCTAATGCACCAAACCTTTTTTATTCAATTCTATATATTTTTCCAAGATGAAATGTTTTGCCCAATGTGAAAAGTGGGCCGGCAATTGTTATTAACAAATAACTATATACAAAAAAGCAATTTCACCGAATTGCTTCGGAATCAATTTATATATATATATATATATATATATATATATATATATATATATATATATATATATATATATATATATATATATATATATATAAATATATATATATATATATATATATATATATATATATATATATATATATATATATATATATATATATATATATATATATATCGGTGTATCTCATCAAAATAAACACTTTTTCTCTCTTGATAATTTTTCGAAAAATGCTTCCTTTTCGAATTATTTGCATTTTTTTGTTAAAGAAATGCCCTAATTAGTGATTTTTGGGATTTTTTTTCTAAAAAACTACTAAATGAATTGTAATTATACAAATAGCTTTATAATCTTTAAACCGTCGAGTACAAGTTAGAATATTTTGACAAGGATAATTTTTTTCTATCTTGCTAAAAACGTGGACCCAAATATTTCGAATATGCCTTTCGAGCAGTCTACCGCTAACTGTGTACAGCGGTTGCGGCGATACAGGCGTGCGGCGCGTAGAAATATTTGTTTCAATTTAAAAAATTAATTCAATACAAATATTACGTACAATTTATTAAAAAAAAAAAGATATTTCTAATTATTTTTATATAGACATATTATAATTAAAACATTTAAAATTAATTTTTTACAATGCTATAATAATGTAATTTTTCTTTTAATATACGTGGTGACTATATTATTGAATGTTTTATTACAGTGAAATACATTAAGCAATATATAATTAATTTTCATTGAAAAATATAATAAAGTAAAAATATAATATTAATTATACATCGTTTTCATTGTCAATACAATAACCTCAACCGCTCCACGCTTGAGCGGAATACTCTCGAAAGGCATATTCGAAATATTTGGGTCCACGTTTTTAGCGAGATAGAAACCATTTATCCTTGTCAAAATATTCTAACTTGTACTCGACGGTTTAAAAATTATAAAGCTATTTGTAAAATTGCAATTCATTTAGTAGTTTTTTAGAAAAAAAAATCCCAAAAATCAGTAATTAAGGCATTTGGCATTTTTTCAACAAAAAAATGCAAATAACTCGAAAAGGAAGGATTTTTCAAAAAATTATCCAGAAAGAAAAAGTATTTATTTTGATGAGATACACCTAAAAAAATTGATTCCGAAACAATTCGGTGAAATTGCTTTTTTGTATAAGCTATATGTTAACAATTGCAAGCCCACTTGTAAAAATTTTAAAAAAATACATTTCATCTTGGAAAAATATATAAAATCGAATAAAAAAGGTTTGGTGCATTAGAAATACAAAAAGAATTTTAGTCGCTTGATGCTCTGCTTATAGGGGTAAACCGCTCGCCTATAACCTATCAATATCATTTCAACACATCTCAACTCATTATATTCAGTCATAATTCCACCAGCATTATATTCCATCTTTTATTCTGTTCGCTTTCTATATTTAATGAATCCGCACATACATTAGTTAACATCTAAATTTTGAATAATCAATAATCGTGTGCCTAAAGCTGAATGTAGCCGACATTATGTATAATTAAATGTGTTAAAATTTGATCAACTATAAAAGTAGCAACCATCAATATATTGGAATTTAAAGTGTGATTTGAAATAGGTATTATTGTGGGTGGATTGAACATTGATAAGTTATGATTGTATGTAGGTCATCATCTATACAAATATCTGATTCAATGGTGGAGAGCTAATTTTAAATTTTAAATAAGGCCCTTATGTTTTTATCAACATTTGGTACCTGGAATATGGAGAGCAGATATGTACAAGATGTTGGATCATTTATATTACAGATTGGATAAATAATCCATATGGATTAGAATAAGAGCAAGAACTAATAAAGGACCACTTAATTAGGGCGATCAAATGGTGAATATTCCTATGGAATTAACCCCTAACTTGGCAAAAGGCTAATTTTAAATCTAAAAATCTGAAAATTGGTATGTTTGCTGTTTGGGCATCATACAAATATTGTATAACAAAAAAATATATGACTTTTACATGTCAAAAATTTGCATTGTATACCAGAGTATACATCGCCAAATAGACTGAAAAATAGGTTTGTATAGCATATTATACATTTAGGCCAGGGAAATAAGCAAAAAAAGTACCCTGTTTTTGACACTCGTCCGTCCAGGCCGACGACAGTTGTTTTGAGTAGTATGGACCTCTGTAACAAAAACCTATATGTTTCCTGCAATCGATTTTTTGGACTTAATTAGTTATTAACAAATTAAGAAAATCCACAAGGAAAAACAATTCCTGTAGCTGGCTGTATACCACGTATCACAAAAAAGAGGTTAGTCTTTGTAAGTGGGTATATTTATTTAAAAACCCTTAAAAGGGCTACATCAAAAAAACAAACGTTTTCGGACTAAACAGTCCATCATCAGGTTTAAAATCTGCTAGGTTAAAATGCCTGAGCCACCAAAAATACATGGGTAAAAACCCTTTAAATTACTTATAGTTATAAAAGATTATACATCTTGTTGTTAAAAAACTGTGATGTTCATTATTAAATTAAATATGACTTCAGGTAACATACATTGCAAAAAATTTTGAGTTCCAGAGCCGGGGAGAAAACCTCTACGCACGGAGAACAGCTGGAACAGCAGAGTTTCCCGTCGACTTTTGCATTGAATTCACCCATAACTACCGTGATTTCTCTGTTCTTTCTAATTTTCAGTGCATCTTCAAGTTGTTGGTAGAATGTTTCTACTTCATCTTGTAGTCGTTGGCGCATATACTTATGCTTACCTACTTATTACCTATTTTTGCTTTTGATAATTTTACTTTGTCTTGTTTCGATGCTTGACAAGGGTATCGCCGGTTAATGGCTTTGATGTCTTTGGTAAAGACCAATTAGCCAGTAATGGATCAAATTTATTCCATATTCTAAAAATTGGTGTTACACTTTGTGTATTTTTAAAAATTCAAAGGAAAGTTAAGTATAAGGACGATACGAATTATGTATTTATGTTTTGAAGAAAATTTTCCAAAGAAGAAGAAACCCGTGAAAACCGTAAAGAAACCGTGAATTAATATTAGGCGATTGATAATAAGTTTCCTTCGTTTTTGATAATGTTACCAAATATAAACAGAAAATTTTGTCTGTTTAAAAAGTCACTTTTAAATGTTTTTCTATAAATAACTTTTAAAAAATAAGATAATTGGTCTGTTCATAAAATGATTTACATATTTATTTATAGTCAAACAGGGTTATAAATATGTAAATATATCATTATAAAACATCTAAAAACTTTTAGCTTTCTTTGATAATTACATAATTCTATTGTTATATATTGTTATGAAAACAATAAATTTAGTCAAAGGCCTGCACTAATAGCAATCTGCACTTTACGGTGTCTTTAATTTATTTAATGGATTATACCAACAAAACCCTTCTTAATTCAAATTAAATTCTCGAGGCTATTTGTGTTTCTAGTCAAATACGAGTTTACAAGTATTTTCGAAATGTGGAAGGTAAGTAAATGAATTGAGAACACGTGAATAAATCTATTTATTAAATTACATATTAGAACAATGTAAAATTATCTAATTTTAATTATATTGTAATCTAGAAGTCTAATTAATAAAACAAATTTTATGTGAGAAATACTCCAAATTATTGAACACAACTGACTAAAAAGTTGTTGTCAATTTAAATTGTCTGTACAATAAACCGTTGATAATGTGTGTTTATTGACTTTAAACTCAACGAATTCCTATCGTCTCCTAACTAATAGCAATAACAAGTATAAATAGTACTGACAAATTACACGCCTGTAGTTTTTTATGGAAGTGGCTCGATTTGGGCTGGTGCGAAATTGGATAGAAAACACAGGAAAAACATTCACTTTCCTCTTCTTAAACCTTAAATTTTACTCCTACCGTTAGATCTTAGAAGGATTTGGCTAGCATCTAAATTTATATTAAAGGTGGTAGCATATGACAACCCAATATATTCTTCAATAGAGCAATTTCATATAGCATTTCTGAACTTGTTACTTTAGTTTTTGGAGAAAAAAATACGTCCCACCAATACTGGCTGACTTCCAGAATACGCTTCATGAGATTCATCTAACTCCTTATTTCCTTGTCACTCCTTCCCGCTTGATTTTCAGATTTCTCCTACAGTTTATGAAACTCTCAATCTACAGAAATAAGGTAACCAAGCCAAGTTTGTGTCTTGGTACCTTAATAACTGGTCTGAATATAAACTTATCTTCACAGATGGATCCAAAAATGAACAAGGTAATGTGGGCATAGGTATATACCTTAGTAAAAGCACCGAATTAACAGCCAGATTACTATCTGCTAATTGAATTTCTTCAGCAAAATTATTTGCGATAAAAACGGCATTAGATTTAATTCAACAAAATGATTTTGAAAAAAAGCCTTATTTGTAGTGATTCAAAAAGTGCTCTGGAGAAAATTACAAGACCAAGTTATAAGGCCGCAGCAGACACACAAAGTCTTCATTTAAAACAAAAACTTAGTCAACTCCATGAATAAAATAAAGATATTAAATTCGCATGGATTCCAAGTCACATCGGGATAGTGGGGAATGATAGAACTGAGTATCTTGCTAAACTTGGAAGGAAGCTACCTGTTACTGAAGAACCAAAGGCTTCCTTTAAAGATTTTCAAACTAAATATAAGGAAAACCTATGGATCAGTTAAAAAATGGGTTCTAACAAATAGGACAGGTAAAAGGAATTACATATTGTACAAATATTACGGTTCCATATAAAAAGGCCTAGTTTACAAGGTTTGCCAAACTTTGTAAAGTTTCCATGTGGCAGTTTAGGCACCTTACAGCATGTGTTGTTGGAATGTACTAGATGTCAAAGGAAGTCCCAGTTACTTATAAATGAATTTCAAGGTGATCCAACACTCATTGATGTGTTATTCAAAAACTTAAACTTAAAGACACGCTTGCAGTGCAAAAGATTTTAGCGTCAACAAGGTATCAAGTATAGTTCGTAAATGTACATTATAAGATTTAATCTGCTTGCTTGGATCGCATGTGTTTAGTGCGGTTTGGTGCAGTAGTATAGGACTAGAACAATATAACTTAAGAACTTATGTGAAAGAACTTATAAACATTTGACTTTAATTTGTTTTCTTTTTTTTTTTCTCCTTTATATATTGTTGCAAGTTCAGGAGCTACGAGCTTAAGCCCAAATGTACCTTAGGTACGGGTTTTAGAACATTCAGTATAAATACACAGATCCTAACCGAATAGCCCTGGTAGCTATGGCCAAGCAAATGAATAAAAGAAGAAAAATTTTACTCCTTGCACGAGAACATTGTCTTTTCTAATTTGCACCTTCTACTTCAAAAACTCAAAAACAAGAGATCTTTTCACACTCACGTTATTACAACATTACATCGACAAGCCTTTCTAGAGGGATATTCTACTGGTTTAAATGATCCAGAGCAAATGGCCGAAGATTAATAATTACGCACATTGGTAGCGAACATCGTTTTGTAAAGAATGGTTTGAGTTTGTTTTAAATTATACTAAAGATTACCACGAAGAAATAAACTCCGGTGTTTTTGAAGATATTAATTTTCTCAGGTATTAATTTGTCTACCAAATAATGCTGTCGTTGTTTTCGATAACACCAGTTATCACTCAAAATTAGTAGAAAAGTTACCGACTGTCTCATGAAAAAAAAATCAGATATAATTGACTGGCTTTAACGCAAAACAATACCTGATCAGACTATGCTTAAAACGAAATTATTACAAATTGCAAGGCAACATAAATCGTACTATAAATAATGTCATTGACGAAATGGCAAAAAAAAGGAATAATGGTATTACGTTTGCCACCTTTGCCAGCAAAAAGTAAAGTGGCCAGATAAAATACAATTTTTCTATTTAAGAATGTCAAAAATCTTTTATTGCATTTTTAAACTTTCATTAAATAAAGATTATGGACTATTTATATTAACATTGGAGAACTACTAATCATTTCAGTTGGACCAGTCAACGAATCTGACACAGGAGAGATTTAAATCCATAATTTATAAGTAAATCAATTAGTTTTTTAATTTATGCATATTGCTTGAATGTTAAATATCAATCAAATTTATCCGCTTTAAAATTTATTTTTATTAAAATATAAATATGTCCCTTTTTGATTCTCCAACACTGACCCATGAATTTCATACCTATTAGATATGTAATACATGGGTTTTTATTTTTATTTCAATATAAAAATAATATCTACATTTCAACAGGAGAGGATATTATTTTGAGTGACTTCTTCCGTGAGCGACCATTTTACCTGCTGTTTGTAGATTAGTGAAAATTTGCATTTGCACTGCCAGATTCCTGGCCTTCTATGTGGAAGCATTGATTATAAACCACTGGTAGTGGTTTATAATCAATGGTGGAAGTCAAACACCCTACCGCCTGAACTAAATTTAAAGTTTAATTATTAATTAAAAATATTTTATTTATTGTTTATATTAACATGGAATCTAAAGTGATTCGGGTTAAGACACATATATGCTATGTAAGCAATATCATGATTTCAAGAACTCGCAATCATTTTACTTTTATTTGGTAAATCGATATAAATGTAGACTTCAACTATTAGAAAAGAACTTTTCGTACCTTTCCATGGCGGTCGTACTTTTACGTAACATTTAAAAGGTAAAATATCTCATGAAAATTTAGAACCAAAATAAGTTGACTTACTCAAATCCGCTTGTTTTTAAGGTTGCTTCTGGTAATTTAAATGGATTCATCGGTGGAATCAACAATTCTGGAATGCCATTTGGAAGTCGAGGTCGAATAAGTTCCACATTTTTCAATATACAAGGTCCAACTTCTTTCATTGACTTCGAACATGGTTGTAGGAAGTCCGCTAAAATCAAAAATGAATTGGATTGTCCAAACTTAGACCTACTTTGACTTCGTGAAATATTTTCTTCAAAAATTTGAAGCAAAAATTTAGTAGGCAACTAGTAAAAAAAATTCCTAACACATCAATTGCCACACGTAGTCAAAAATATAGTAGAAACATTAATGATGTGTAGAGGACTACTGCTGTGATTTTGTGTCTAACGGTATTGGAAGACGATGATTTTTCTTCCAAGAAATGGGGACAAAAACTGTGCAAGTACGCAACAAAGGCTTCGTTGGTTGTAAATGTTGGTTGTAATTTGAAAAACACAAGGAATTAAATAGCTTTAGTGATTTAGCAATAAAGTACTGAAAACTTTCGTTTTCAAAACTTCCACAAATTTTTATTATAATTAATTGTCACTATAGCTGTTTCAGCAGAGTGCCTTTCTTTAGTGATTTTTGTTATACATCCAACACTTTATAGTCTTTGACTAAATAAGTTGAGGAGGCGAGAACTGTTTGTCTCAAGTTGCTCATTGAGAATTATATATGTATTTTTAATTTGTTAATTTCCATAGATTCTAATAGTGATGCCTAGAATGGGAGTACGCTAATTACATTTTTATTTTTTTCAACGCTGAGCTCTCCAACGCTTTTGGCAGATTTTTCCACAGTTTAGGCATTTAAATTTCTTATATTATTATCACTGGTTCTAGCCTTATTCTTATATTTATTAAATGGCAAGTTTAGAGAACTGTTAATAGAGAATAGAATAGAATTTAAAGTACATGAACACCAAGGTAGAGTTGCAATAGTAAGCTCACCAGTAAGATTAACAACAAAAGAAATTAAAAATGTATATAAACATCTAAAGAGGCACAAAATACCCAGACCAATGGATATACCACGAGAATTGTTTGAGCACGCAACGAGCAAATTATAATAATAACTTTGACAACCATCTCCCAAGGAATGGAAAACATCATACCTCAGTACTATATATAAAAAGTAAGACAAGAACAATTGTGAAAATTACCAAGACAGAGCTGAAACCAGTTCTATGAGTAGAATATATGAAAAGGTTTTGATGAATCGAATCGAGAAAGAATATTTAGATTTTAAAGCAAAAGAACAAGCAGAATATCGTACAAGATGATCCAATATTGGTATTATTAAACCAAATAATAAAAAAAGATGGCACGGAATCAAGAAATTATGGGTGAACAATGCCACTGTGTTTTATTTCCCTATTTATCCAAAATATACAAAATACTCTTAGACAATTGTTTCAGAACGGTTTTAAGAAAATAACTTCTTCTCTAATAAGTTTTAAAGGCTTAGGAAAAATCCTGTGATCCTAATCCAAATGACAAATTGTAAAAAGAACTAGAACATCGTATTTATACAAACTTTTACAAATAGATATGTCTTTGATACACTAACAGACAATCAAAAACCGATTGTCTTAATTCCGAGACATTGTCAGTGGTAAGTAATTATTTAAGAAATAAGAAATTAAGGATATCTTCTCGAGCTTTGAAGAAGCTGCATTAAACATCGGTCTAAAAATAAATGAAGACAAAACAAAATATATGGTCGTCTCAAAACAAGAACTACGGCGGCTAAGGCAAAACATTACTATAAATGATCACGACTTCGAAGTGGTTAAAGAATTTAAATATCTAGGAGTAACAATCACAAATGACAACAAATTAGAGCGAGAAGTTGAAACAAGAATAATGGCAGGAAATAGATCTTTCTTTGCAATGCAACATCTGATGAAGTCGAAACTTCTTTCACGAGGTGCAAAGATCCGGGTATATAAGGCCATACGACCAACAATCGCATATGGAAGCGAAACATGGACGATAACAAAAAGAGAAGTAAATAAATTGCTGGTATAGGAACGTAAAATTCTTCGAATGATATATGGCCCTTGCAAAGACAGCGTGACAAACAAATGGAGGGGCAGATACAACAACGAGCTAGAGTCTCTATTCGGAAAAGAAAATCTAGTCAGATATATAAAGACCAATAGACTCAGATGGGCAGGACATGTGATACGCAGTAACGACAATCGCCTTATAAACCATGTGTTCTGGGAAAGGCCAGATGCAAGAAGGTCTGTAGGGCGGCCTAGAAAAAGGTGGAAAGATGCAGTCAGAGAAGATCTAGAGAAGATGGGAGTGCGACAATGGGAATTACTGACACAGGACCGACAAACATGGAAGGCAATAGTAAACGCGGCAAAGACTCACGAAGAGTTGTAGCGCCATTGTTGATGATGATGATGATGATAAAGTAATTATTTAATATTAATTTAATACTCCAAGGTATAAATATTTCAAAATTGTAAACGTAAGTTGTTGCTTTACATATTTTTTTAATAATGGATAAACCACAAAGATGTAATAATTCTTTACAAAATGCCTCAAAGATCTCTCACAATATATGAGCACCTGAGCTGGGTCAGTTGCGACTACTTACAAAAATTCCAAAATAAAATTATTGATAGCGTTAGAGAGAAACTGAGGAAGGAGATGTAATGCATAATCACAATATGGTATATTCTAGTAACTAGCTATATCCAAGTGTTATAGATTTATGGAAAAAAACAGTGTTAAGCAATTAATGGACATTAGGAAAAATATTTACATAATAAAAATTGACTTGAAAATTAAAAATATTAAAATCTACTGAGATCATAATTTATTTGCAGTCTTTGAGTTGCGCCAAATGTAGGCAACCTACACATATAGTTACAACCAAAACAGAAGAACTAGAAAGACAGCAAATTAACCGCGCATTTACATGTATATTATTTGTTCGTCTTACATGTGAGTATGCCCCAGATATTAATTATTCTGGGCATTTTAAAATTCCTATTAGTCCAATAGAAACAGTACATATGCCAGTATTGTCAGGCATTGAAGTTTTACAATAAAGCACTTGGCATCTGTTGTGTATCAGGGAAACTTGTGTTACCACCTCTTGACACTCAACCAGAACCTTTAGAATAATTATTTATTACTGGTGATTACGAAAATTGTATAGAAAACCAAATGAAATGTGTAACATTAAAAAAATAAGTGGAATGGTTGCAGTGAAGCAAATAACTTCAAATAGGTAAAGAAATAATAAATAAGACTTACACACAATCAATTTAATTTAACTATCAGACGACCGGATTCGCTTTCTACAATATGCAAAGCATCCTCAGGTCTCGATACAAAGTTAAACAAATGCTGAAATGATAAATGATAAAATGATAAATGATAAAATTTGTTTAACTTTGTATCGAGACCTGAGGATGCTTTGCATATTGTAGAAAGCGAAACCGGTCGTCTGATAGTTAAATTAAATTGATTGTGAGTAAGTCTTATTTATTTAATTGCTATCGACGTATCTTCATCTTTTCTCACTAGAGGACTCTAGTTACATACTCTGATAGTTATTTTTATGAAATTGCCAGAGTAAGCGGTGCGTTTTGATTTGGTTTGAGTCTTCTTACAAACTCCTTCTGATGACGGGTAGACCCTGAAACACGTGTCAGGGAGTGGTAAGAGACTCAAATTAAATCGAAACGCAACATTCTTCGTATATTTATCGTCCCTACTCGACGCAATGAGTACAAAATTGATGGTAATTTATATGGGTAAATTGTTGGTACATAGTGGAATATTAAATTTATTCTCAGTACCGCTCTGAATGGCTTGTTTAAGCTTGGGTATACAGTTTACTTTAATTGCTATCGACGTATCTTCACCTCGTTACCACTCTTACGAGTGGTAAGAGACTCAAATTAAATCGAAACGCAACATTCTTCGTATAAGTCTTATTTATTATTTCTTTACCTATTTGAAATGGACGCACACAAGCAACACATTCATGATTCAAATAACTTCAGTTATTATCTGAGATGAATGTACTATGGCTCATAAACATTTATTTGAAGCATTACATAGAAGTATGCAACATTTAAACAGCAACGATAGACTATTCGGTATCCTGTGTACTGTCTGGTGACTTCCGACAGGCATTACTAGTTATTCCTCTCTTTACATATGCGGATGATATTAATGCATGTTTAAAACAATCGTTTTTATGTGGTAATGTCAAAACAGTTGGATTGACCATTAACATAAAAGTACAAGTGCAAAATGATCTATTGGCGCAAAAATTTTTCATCTGCCGGATATTGGAATCGGTAACTTCCGCATCCAAATACACAATGCATCAAACCAGATAATTTCTGCACTTTTTTGAGACCAAATATAAATTAATTGTAAGTGTCTTCCTGGCTATACTGAATAATTACTTGAATTATAATTGGCTCAGTGAACGGGCAAAAATGTTGACGTTGACGAAATTAACTTTCAGATTCAACAAATGTTACCAGGTGATCTGATATCTTTTAAATCAACCGACAGTGTTGTTAATAAAGACGAAACTGTAAATTACTGGATATACCAGGGATGTCACCATACAATTTTCAGTTAAAAGTTAGTTTACCAATTATTCTGCTACGCAATTTAAACCCAGCCAGAATATACAACGGCACACGTTTGGTCATTAAAAGTATCACCAAAAATATTGAAGCAACTGTTTTGACTGGGTGATTTGAAGGAGAAATTGTCCTGTTGCCACGTATCCCAATATATAACCATTATATACCACAATATCATTTAAAAGGCTTCAATTTCCTATTCGATTAGTATTCGTGACGACCATTAACAGATCTCAAGGCCAGACAATGTCCGTTTGTGGCTTGGATTTAAGAATCTATTTTTATCACATGGTCAATTATAATATTGCATGCTTACGTTATATTAAAACTCAAATTGATTTATATTAGCAAAAAATAACGAAAAATATTGTGCACCAATTAGCGGTTAATTGAATGTTGATCAATAGGTATAATTTAGAATAATATACTTAATTATTTGGAATAAAACTCAAACTTCACTTCTTATACCTCCCTTATGGAACGTAATTCATATAAAAGTTGGCAATAACAAATTATAATATATATATATATATATATATATATATATATATATATATTATATATAATATAAATATACATATATTGGATTTGAAATTTCCGCGGGAGCTATAAGTGATTTCAGTTGTTTTCCGGGTTTGACTCCGCGTTAAGTAATTTTGGTTTTTAGAAAAACCATTATTTTG